AAACCCCGGGGGGCGGAGGTTGCGGTGAGCCGAGACCGCGCCTTTGCCCCCCAGCCTGGGAAAAAAGAGAAAAACTGCGTTCCAAAAAAAAAAAAAAAAAAAAAATGTTCCAGGGTAGGGGCTGACCAGAAGCTTAGAGAATGTGGGCCTCAATTTTGATGCAATATCCCGAAGGGGTCTGCCCCATCCAGGTGTCGCGTACAGGCCTGTTCCCTGTCTCTTCTCCTTTATTGCTCAGGATCACAGATGCCTACTCTGGGCCAGGCCCTGGCAGGCATTGTGCGTTATCCTGTCGGGTCCTCTAACCTACTTGCAGATGGGGAACTGGGCCCAGAGATGCTGAGTGCTTGGTCCAAGGGTGCACAGCTTCATAGTGGCGAAGCTAGGACTCACTCACTATGCCTCGGTTCTGTGAATTTCTCAGGGAGTCCTCAAGAATGTCCATTTGTGGTGTGTAAAAAGAACACATTGACTCCCAGATGTGTTTCTGCTCATCTTGACACCAACAGGCATCTCTGGGCACTGAAGGAGCTTGGGAAATACAAGGCCTCAGAAAAGTCTACAGCAAAGATGAGAAGAAACCTGTGAAATCAAAATGGATAAATGTTTAAACATCTACAGGGTGCAGCTTTATGTTAGCCTCATTAATTGTTAAATTAAACATTCATAAAAACTTCATTCGAAAACAATTTGCTGACTGGATTTTCTCATGTTGCACAAATTCCTGATATGGATCGATGAATCACAGCCAATTTTTAAAGTGAATGTTTTTCAGCACCAAATAACTTCAAAAGAAAGTTGAGAAACATCCTTGAAAATAAGTTTTCTAGCCCAAAGAGTATGTCAAATATGAAATATGGGTGCATTTTAATATGTTTGCTCTGATATGGGACCCTAAGTCCTGGAGGTCTTGAAATATCTGGATTTTTTTTTTTTGAGGTGGTCTTGCTCTCTCGCTAGGCTGGAGAGCAGTGGTACTCCTCATCTTCACAAAAGATTCAAGGTGGCCCAAGATGACATGCAGTGTAGTGATCTCTGCCTCTTGCGTTCAAGCAATTCTCCTGCCTCAGCCTCCTGAGTAGTTGGGAATAACAGCGACACACCACCATGCCTGGCTAATTTTTTGTATTTTTTTAGTAGAGACAGGATTTCACCATGTTGACCAGGCTGGTCCTGAACTCCTGACCTTGTGATCTGCCCGCCTCGGCCTCCCAAAGTGCTGGGATTACAGGCATGAGCCTCCATGCCTGGCCCCAAATTATGAGGATTTGAGTTCCAATTTGCATGTCTGTGAAGCACAGAGCTGCCAACCATTGTACCACCCTCCCCAGCCCTCCTGAGAATCATGTGGAGTCAGCCCAGAGCACATGCTTTTATAGCCAGGCTATAAAAACCCTTCTTTTTGAGCTGCCATTGACTGAATGTGGGTTCAGGTCCTAGCCCTGCTACTTCCTAGCCCAGCGACCTTGAACCAGTTGCTCAACCTCTCTAGGCCTCAGTTTCCACACCTGTACAATGAAGCTAAAACAAATACCTCTTTCCCTTTAGACTGTTTTGAAGTTTCGATGAGATAGTTGTGTAGAGTGCTTAGAATGGTGCCTGGCACAGAGTAATTGCTCAATAAACGTAACTATTACTATGATTCTTCATCTCTTTTACAAAAGATGCAAGATGGCCCAAGATGACATGCAGTATTGAAGACTAAAGAAATTGTGGAAGGATTTGGGGGCTACCAGACCAGTAACACCAGGAAACAAATGGAGGTTGGGGGGTGGGGTTGGCAATCTGCAGAGTCCCACCTTCTGAATGTGCTGCAGACAGGTGGTGGGAGTTTCCTGTGTGGTTTAGGTGCTTCAGTCAGCCCAGAAGAGCCTGAGCTTCAGGGCTCTCAGAGCTGCCCACTTCTCACTGCTGTGGACTTTTCTGAGGCTTCGTGTTTCCCAAGATCCTTGGGTGCTCAGAGCTGTCTGTTGGTGCCAAAGCATAGGGAAGGCATTGGTCCATGGGTTGAATCCCAGGCCTAGATCAGCACGGGTTGGCTCGTGGAGACAGCAGGATGCTGGCGGGTGTGAGAGGTATTTGGAGATGGAGGGACGGGCTGCACTGCCGTGGGAGTGGCTGGAAATCAAGGATGAGCCCTGGGATTTGGGTGCAATAGGCAGATGGAAATACCATTTGTGGAGATGGGGAGAAGGGCAAGAGTGTGTGGGGAAAATGACTTTATCCATGGGCACGGGAGATGCCATGGGGCCTCCCAGCAGGCAGGCGGGGGAGAGGGTGGGCTTTACACACACACCCGGGACTCAGGCAGCCCCCACTGCAGAATCCGCTCCTTCTCAGCTTTTGGGTAGCATTAGAGACAGGTTAGAAGAGAGTGTAGGGAAATTAGACAAGAGAGCTCATTAGCTAACCTTTTTTTTTTTTTTTTAAATTATTTTTGAGCACCTGCCGTGTATCAGGGGTTGTTTTTGGTTCTAGAGACACAGCAGGGAACGAGACAGACAAAAGCTCCTGTTTTCCCAGATCTTATGTTGTGTGGATAGGAGAGACACTTACTAAATAAGAAGAGAAAGTGAAGTGTGTCACAGGTCTGCTGGTGCTTGGTGCAATGTGGTAGAGGGACGGTGTGGGAGCGGGGACCGGGGGTCTCCCCGTCACATGGGTCGGGTGGTGCAGTTTACACGGATGTCAGGGACGGCCCTACTGGGCAGGGACACTTGAGCAGGGCTAAGGGAGGTGGGGAGCAAGCCCGGGCCACATCTGGGGAGCAGCAGCTCAGAGGCTCTGAGGCAGGTGAGCTGGGTGTGTTTGGGGAGCAGAGAGGGGGCCGGGGCGGCTGGGTGGAGTGAGTGAGGGGAGAGGAGTGATGAAGCCATGTGGGCAGACCATGCCAGGCTGTGTCCGCCCCTGGAAGGGCCTGGGCCCCTCCAGGACTCTGAGCACAGGAGCGGTCGGAGTGGCCTCAGTTGACAGACCCCTGCCTCTGTGTGGAGGCTGGCAGCAGGGAGGGCAGGAGGAGGCAACGCTAGAAGTCCAGGCAGGGGAGGGTGCTGCCTGAGCACAGGGTGATAGGGGTGGCGGGAGTGGTGGTCAGATTCTGGATATTTTGAAGGCGGACCTAACACCGGTTGCTCATGGATGAGTAGGGCTTTGGAGGTGAGGAGTGGAGGAGGACTCCAAAGCCTGTGGCTCGAGCTGCCATTGACTGAGCTGGGAGGCTGTGAAAGAGGCCGGTGAGCAGGAGGCTCAGGCCTTCACCCTGGAGCACTCCAGCTTAGACACCGGAGGAGGAGGAACCAGCAAAAGCTTCTTCCAATGTTGGCGGCTGGTGCTGGGCATGGTGGGGGTTCTTTCTCATGGTCAGTGCTGGCTGAGGAGTTGTGGGCTTGGCCACAGGGCCCTTGGATCAGTGTCACTCTGTCCTGAGCCCCCACCCAGGACCCACATCTTGTTGCAAGTGGAGGCAGGGGGGATGTGGCGCAAGGGCTCTAACCCACCATGCAACATGTCCGTCCACTTCAGCAGCCTATCTGTGGCTTGGGCTGGCATGGGACACAGGCTGGGTAACTGAGCCGATGCAGGAGGATGACTTCCAGGAGATGGTTGGAAAGGCAGCTGGCCTTCGGCTTGGGTCACGGAAAGGGGAGGAGGGCGTGTGTCCCTGCGTGGGTCTCTCTGTGCGGGAGAGGTCTATGACAAGGATGTGACCTCGAGGTGTGGTTACAGCTAGTCTTGATTTCAGGAGTCACCCCCACCTTGTATCTTAGCAGGAAAGTGGGAGGAACACATAATTGTGTAGGACAGGAGGGTATTTTTGCTTTGGACCCATCTTCATTTCTAACTCTAGGTTATTCTACCCTTTAAAATAAAATGTTGATTGAATCCTTGCTGAATCAGTTCCACATGCGTTTGGCTGCACATAATGGGAAACCTAACTTACTAATAAGATGGTCTTCTCTCACATAATTCATTGTCTGGAGTTTTTGGTCCTAGAGCTCAACAGTGCTGTCTGTGGCCAGGCATCCTCTGCCTTTCTGTTCTGCTATCCTCATATCTTCTCTCTAGTTACCTCACAGTCACAATGTGGCAGCCATGGCTCCAGACATCACATCTGCACAGAACTATGGCCAAAGGTTGTCCTGTTGGAGAACACTTTTTCTTCTGTGTATTAGGGAGAAAACTTCCCACAGTCCTCCCTTCCCCTGCATGGTCTTTTCCTTAGGTCTCATTGGCCGGATGAGTCTGACATATGCCCCTAAACCAGCCCCTTTGGAGAGAACTGGGATTGCTGATAGTGGCTTAGAATTCCTTGGGATTCATTTTTTTGTGACTTCGGGAGGGGGCTTGCTAGGTACTACTCTGGCAACCAGCGTTCTTTAAACTCTGAGGATGAGGGGCATTGGCCGTTGGAGAGAGAACTTGCACTCTCTATCAGCCTTTGGTGCATTTAATCCTCAGAACAATTTGAGACAAATGTAGTTGTTTCCATTTTACTGATAAGGAAACTGAGGCTTGGGTTATGTAACTCGCCCCAGGGCACACAGCTGTCAGGATCGTGTGTGTGCGTGTGTGTGGGGGCGGCAGGGGTTGTCCTGATGCCTTCGTAGTCAGTAACAGTCATAACAGATCTGTATTAACGATCGCTGATTGAGTCTGAGCAGAGGCCACCCCTCAGGGGCGTCAGAGGCCTAGGAGAATCAAGGGCAAATCTGAGAATGAAAGAAAAACATGGATGAGGAAAGGAAGCTCAGAGAGGCTAAGGGATTGCCCAAGGTCATCCCTGTCTGGAGTTCGCTGTCTTTACCTCTCCACTTGGTGGTTTCTGAGTCTGTGTCACTTGGGCTCCAGGACACCCTAGGCTGTGACTGTCACATGGAGGGCAGGGGATCAGCAGGCTGAGCGGGAGAGAGCAGAGGCCAGGCCAAGGACCCAGGTGTGGGACGGGCACAGATCTGCAGGAATGCGCCCAGAATGTCCGCCACGTGGACTCCCAGGCAGATGGCAGGTACTTATGGCAGCAGGGTTCTCAGCAGGGGCAGGGGCAGAGGGGAGTCGGGGTGGGGGAGGTGGGGGTCAGGCTGACAGCTTAAGGTACTGGGAGAAGAGATGCAGGAGAAACTGGAACAGGAAACTTGGCTGCAATCCTTGGTAGCTAACCTCCCCTCTCAGCCTCAGTCCCCCACTCTGTGGCATGGTGGTGGGGTGTCCAACTCTGAGTGGCCTCCATTGTTACTGTGTAAGTTTGAGCAACTGCCAAGTCTGTCTGTGTCTCTGTTTCCTCCTCTGTCGAGTGGGGTTAATAAGAGCGATTGTCTCCAGGTTGACTGTACAGTCTTGAGTAAAATCCCGCAGCCCCTCGTACATGGTAGGTTGGTGAGAGGCCTCCTTGGGCATCTCGATGGGGTTTTGGAATTCACGGGTAAAGAGGCTGTCTGGGGTCCTGTATAAATCACACATCTCCCCCTGTGACCCCGTCTCTCCGCCCTGCTTTGCCTCCTCCATCTGCATTCCTCGGTGATTCTCTCCAGTGTAAAGCTAAGCAGGAACAGCTGATATTTATCAAATGCTCCCTGTGTGCCAGGCTTTGGGCCGAGATCTTGCACAGAATGTCTCATTCAGTCCTCACAAGAACTTGGTGGGGTGGGGACACGATGCTTTTCCCACCACCTTAGAGAGACAGAGACCGAGACTTAGGGAGGGGAGTTCAGAATCAGTTTTCAGACTAGGTCTTCTCTTCTCCCTTGTTTCTGTCCCTCCTCTCCTCTCCCATCACATCCCTTTTCTTCCCTTCCTTCCACTTTCTGTGCCCCACCAAGGCTAGACATTGAGTTTTGATGTGGGATGATGAGGTGAGCACGGCAGACAGCGTTCCTGTCCTCACGGAGCTTACACTCGTTGGGTAACAGACCTTAAGCAAAATGTATACATGGGTGAGTTAATTTCAGACTGGGACAGGGTGGCACAGACACCTCGCAGGGTATTATACTGAGTGCGTGTGACTGGTGAGAGGATGGGTGGAGGAAGGTTTGGGGGCTACTTTTGGGTAGTTAAGGATGGGACTCTCTGAGAAGGTAGCACGGCCCGGAGAGCTGCGAAGCCGGGGCAGGGCATTCCAGGTGTGCAGGAAAGGGTGGGTGCAGGTGCCCTAAGGTGTGTGGAGGGCGCCTGGGGCATGTGGGGGGTTCAAGGCAGGGAAGCATTGAGGGGAGGTTGCAGGGGTTTCGTGTGTGGCAGCTTCCTCTGGGAGGGGAGAAATTGCTTCCTTCTGAGAGGGCTGGAGGGAGGTGGGCTTCCTGTACAGGTGGCACATCGGGGCCTTCCTGTGTCACTTGTGACCTGAGAGTCCCTGCTGGCCTAGCTATAGGAGCTCTAGGACCCTGTGAGGAAGCTGGGACTGTGAGCCTCAGAAGGCCAGCTGGCTCCAGCTGCCTGCAGGCCCCCATCTGCAGAGCTGGGCCTGCCGCCACCAGGCCCTGCTGGCCTCCCCTGCCGGCCCCTCGCAGCTGGGGGGAGGCTGGTCTGGATATGGCCTCTCATAGCCGCCTCCCCTGGCAGGGTTCCAAGCCCGCAGGCCCTCCAGCCACTAGCTTGGGGTCCCGTGGGAGAAATGTGTCTTTATGGAGTCAGCCAGGGCAGGCAGTGTGGTGCAATGCCGAGGCCAGAGTCTGTGCCCCGGGCCTTCCCCCAGGGCCGAGTCCTGCTGCCTTTGAATAACAGCCCAGTCTCCTCTGGTTGGCAAATCTTCTCCACCGGGAGGGGACAGGCGGGGCCTCTCAGGACTCCTCATTCTGAGAGGCGTTTGAGTGAGAGGAGGTGGTGCCTGTAGCTGTCTCTTTGGAGTTCAAGCTCATTGACCTGGGTGCGAGCTCCTACATGACCTGGCCCCTGCTGGCCGCTCCTTTATCCAGTCGGCAGACAGCTATTGAGCTCGGACTCTAGGCCAGCCCCCTTCCCAGCATTTAGGATTGAGCGGGACACAGCAGCTCCGGCTCCTGGCTCCCACGGCCTCACTCAGCTTGTCCTCCATGGGCTGGCCGCGCCGCCTCCTGGTTCCTGTGCGCTCCAAGCTTCTACCCATCTCCAGACCTTTGCCCCTGCTGTTTCCTCTGCTTGACAGCCCCTCCCACCTGCATGTGCACGTGCACGAGCACACACACGGTCACACACTCGGCCTACATCTATTGAGATTATTTGGGTTGCAAGCAACAGAAAACAGTCCCTGGCTAATTGAAGGGAGAATGAAAAAGATGACTCATCGAAGGGAGGTGGGGCAGTCACAAAGTCAGGGAGGGCCTAGGAGGCCTTAGAAAGAACTGGCACCAGGAAACGCTGAGAGGCTGGCACGAGGGGGTTCTGTTCTGGGCACAGTCAGTGCTCCCGTTCCCTGTCCTTGGGGTCCTCCACTCATGTGTCATGTTCCTGGGGCAGGGAACATCCCGTTGGCCTCAACCTGACCTAGGAGGGCAGCAAACCTTGACTGACTGCCCCACCACGATGACATGCCACCTGGGAGAGTGGGTCCCAAAGGCCAGACGCGCAGGGCCCAGCACACGGGCCGTGCCTGTTCATTCTTCATGTTTCGGGTTGGATGTCACTTCCCTGGGGAAGCCCTGAGATGAACCAGGTCCCCTTGGTTCAAATTGTATCAGTTTGGAATATTTCCAGTGCCAGGATAACAAACCCAACTGAACAGTGGCTTAGACAGAAGCCACGTATCAAGAAGCGTGGGGCAAGGTGGTCCCAGGGCGGGTGTGTGGACTTAGGAGCAGACGCAAGAACCTTCCATCCTTCACGCTGCCAGCCTCAGCACCTCAGTGGTGTCAGCTATCTGCTTATCAGGGACCCCCTGCAGCTCCCACCATCGCTGCCTCACGTGACTTTATCCCAGGCAGGCGGTGGTGGTGCTGCTTTTCCCTCTTACTGAGAGGGAAGGTGTTTTTCAGAAGCCCCTGGTAGGCTTCCCCAGATGTCTTATTAACTGGTGCTTGGTCAGTTAGCAATTGCACTTGATTTCTAGTATTAGAGACAACTATGGAGGCTGAGCCAAATCAGGGTTTGTGTTTCTGTGGCATGAGAGAAGTCCAGAAGTGGGTGGTTCGGAGCTGCCAGAGTGATCTCCTGATGCCTTTGGGGACCACACTGTCTGTGTCCTTCTGTTCTGCCTGCCTTAGTGTGTTTCCAGCATCTAGGGCATCTTGTCATCTAAAGTGACTGCAAGAGTTCCAGCCATCACATCTTTGTTCCAGGCAGGAGGAAGAGAAAGGGCCAGGGGCTTTTGCCAGAGTGTCCCACCAGTGATTTCTGCTTGTCGCTCATTGGCCACCTGTAGCTGCAAGGAGGCTGGAGATGGACGAGGGCTTCTTGACTAGGGAGGAATGGGAGGGGGGTGTTGCTAGGTAACCAACATTGTCTGCCACTTAAAACCTCCGTTTTTTCTTTGTGGCATTGATCACAGTGCAGTAAAATAGTCTTGGAGTTTATAAATAATAATCACAAACCCATTTTGGGGTTACCGCGGTAAATGAACAGACAACGCCTGGCCCTCGTGGAGCTTACCTTCTCAGGTGGTTGTGGGCTTCTCGCCGGCCATGTACCACCTCTCAGTTGCTGCCACCTGACACCCTCCCCTGCTTATTCCATTCCAGGGAGACTGCCAGACTCGGGAGGAGGCAGTGGCGCTCGGCGTGGGTCTCTGCAACAACGGCTTCATGCACCACGGTAACCGCCCCACCTGCAGCCCCGCCCCTGGGGCCTTGCTCTGTGGAGCTCATGTTTGGGGGAGTGTGGGAGGACTGAAGCCAGGTCTGTGGCTCTGTGGACCCCTGGGGTTTGGGGTGGCCAAGAATCCCACCTCCTTCCCCTTCCCGTCCTGTACCAATGGAGACATCATTTCTGGTGTCCACTGGGGACCAACATGGCTGGCAGGACATGGGCTAGATTTGAAGTCCAATCCATGGGTTTCCATGGGGCCAGGTGAGGCAGGCCTTGCCTGAAGGCCTTGGTGGGGAGGGAGGAGCTGTGTCCTGTGGGGCAGTGGGCAGGTGGGTTGTGAATGTGAGGCAGGAAGCCGTTCCTGGGATGTCTGCCTCTTTTTCCTGGCCTCCTCCCTCAGATCAGTGCCTTTTCTTTCCACTGGGAGAGGTAGGTATTCACTTTAGACTTTAAAGCAGTCACTTTAGACTGCAAGGTGCCCTCGAGGCTGGAAACACACAAAGGGGGGTGGGTTCTGAGATGTTCCTGAGGCAAGAAGTTGGCAAGAAGGAGGACCCATTGGCTCCATGGACACCAGTTTAAATTACAACATAAGTTAGTGTTCTGTGTGCCTGGGCTCTTTCTAGACATTTCCCACGTATTTAGTAGTTTAATACTCACAGCCGCCCTTTGATGTGGGGATTAACACAAGCTGAGATAGTTAAGAAACTTGTTCAACGTTACATGGCAAGTAGAAGCCGAAGTTAGAACCAGGCCATCTGGAGCTGGCATTAGAACCAGGCCGTCCGGAGCTGGGATTAGAACCAGGCCATCTGGACCTGGGATTAGAACCCAGGCTGTCTGGAGCTGGGATTAGAACCCAGGTCGTCTGGCTTTACAGGTTACACACTCCACTACTCTGCTATGTGGCCTCTCCCCTTGAGGGCCCTAGGGGAGCCCTGAGTCTCCTATCCTTTCTTAATCCCTGCCAAGGTGCCATTTCCCTGTTTGCAGAACACTCCTCAGGGCCTTTACACTTGCAGTTTCCCTTGCCAGGGTGTGCTGCCTGCCTCATCCCTGCACGTGACTCAGCGTTTTTGCTCAGTCCACCCCTGCCCAGTGAGGGCCTCCCCACAGCCCCATCTAAAATAGCTCCGCCCCATCATCACTCTGCTCCTAGCTTGGATTCTCTTGTTTTTAAAGGGACTGTTCTCTCTGTGTTAGGCGGATCCCACCCCTCCTTTCTTTCTGCTCATTCTGACATCACATGTGGTGTGTTTGGTGTTCCAGGCACCGTGCTAGACTCTGGGAGCACAGTGACGACCAGGACACGTAGTCCCATGTGTGTTGTGTGTGTGTGCGCGTGTACTTGTATGTGTGTGCCTGTGCGTGCCTGTGGTGTGTGCAGAGGAAGGCAACAGGGATGCCAGTGAGGAGGTGATCATGGTAGTCCAGAGGAAGGAGGATGTGGCTGGGATCTGGTGGTGGTTGCAGAGGGGTGAGAAGTGGTCAGATTCAGGAAACCTTGAGCCATGGGAAGGCCTTTTGGCTGTTTCTCCTTTCTGGTGTTGGCTTTTTTTGTTCTCTCTGGGAGATCTGCAAACTTTCTCTGTAAAGGGCCAGACAGTGAATATTTCAGGCTTTGAGGGTCACATAGTCTCTGTCACAACTGCTTAATTCTAACTCTACCTTAGTAGCACAAAAGCAGCTCCAGACAGTATGTAAACAAATGGGTGTGGCTGTGTACCAGTAAAACTTTATTTAGAAAAAGCAGCTGGTGGGCTGTAGTTTTTTTTGTTTTTGAGAGGAAGTCTTGTTCTTGTCGCCCAGGCTGGAGTGCAGTGGTGTGATCTTGGCTCACTGCAACCTCTGCCTCCCAGGTTTAAGTTATTCTCCTCCCTCAGTCTCCTGAGTAACTGGGATCACAGGGGTGCACCAGCATGCCTGGCTGGCCATAGTTTTTTGAGCCCTGGTCTGCCTGCTGGATTTGCTGTTCCCTTGGCAGATTGAGCCACGTGCTAGAGAGCTGAGAGGCCTTTGGGTCTATCCCCTGCCTTGTGGCCAGCAGGTCCCCAGCTCAGCTGACTCTCAGTAGGCCCATGTGCCTCTCTGGGTCTCAGTTTGCCCAGTTTTCCATCGGAGGCCTTGCTGTCTCCTCATCTGCGCTCAGCATGCCCAGCGTTTTGTGGGAATAGGACTCACTGTTTAGCTTCTGGTTTCCCCAGCTGAGGTGGGCAGATCAGGGCCAGCGTGGGCGGCCGAGGGCATTTTCACCCATCCACCTCATCTCACCAAAGTCCTTCATTCCCAGAAGCTGCCCTGTTCCCCTCGGGGCCCTCTGACAGCCCGAGCCTCCCGCCAGTCAGCTGGGCACAACCTCTTGTTTGTGGGTGAGGGTAATTAGGGGTCCTCCCCAGCTGCTATTCCGGGAAGGCTGCTGGCTGTGGACTTTCCGCTGGGCGGTGACTCCCGGGCGATCCTGACGTCCTTAGGGTCTCTGGGGGAGAGAGATTGCAGGGCGTGACCCTGCTCCTCTGTTCCCTGCCGCAAACTCAAAAATAGGCTAAAATAGGAAAGGGCCAATTCCAGGGTTGTGGCTGCAGCAAAATACAGGGTGCGGTGCAGAATGGGCCACAGGGACTGGCCTGTGTGGCACCTTTCGAGGCACCTCCAACTGGGCCTGAACTGAGCCCACAGACCCTAGAGTATTTCCACCTGAGGACTGGCCTGGGGTCTGGCCCTCTTGCTTTAGGCACATTTGGGGAAACTGAGGCTTGCCGTTGAATCCCCACAGCCACCCCAGCACTTGGGTCCTGTTATTCTTGTAGACGAGGAAACTGAGGTTCGGAGAGGCTAAAGGGCATGAACACAGGAATGGGCTGAGCAGGGATTTGAACCCAGATCTGAGAGTATCCTATAAAGCCGTACCAGCAGCCGGGAAAGGTATTGAGGTCGGTAGCTCACTTGGCTGAGCTCGTGGACCTGAGGAATTCCATGCTGTTTTCCACAAATGTTTTGGCCAATATGCAGCATTGCAATTCTTCCTCCCATTCCCGGATTTTTCTAACTTAATGTTTGTAGTGGCATGGAAGCCAGCGGCCCCCTGGGGCCTGGCTCCCCTGGCTCTGGTGAAAGTGGCAATTTGTGTGTCTGTTTTCTCCAAAAAGGTAACAGGGGTGGCCTGAGAAATGGGCTCGCAAACAGGTAGAACTCCCGGTGAAATGTCCCGGAAAACTGAAGAGAAAGAAAGAAACGGCCCTGGCTGCTTTCCACTGAGTCACCAAATCCAGAAAAAGCCTCTGTCTTCAGGGACAAGGGGGAGGTCTCATGGCTGAGGCAGCTGGTTTCCCTTGTTTCAGGCACCCCCTGGCCTCCGACAGCTGCCATTACCTCCCTGAGCCTTGATTGCCCCCTTTGTGCACTGTTTACACTCAGCCCTGCCTCGTCTACCAGGCCTGGCTGGGCACTGTGGGGAGAGGAGGAGGAGGAGGAGGAGGAGGAGGAGAGGAAGGAGCCACAATGAGGGTCCTTCTGTTGCCTGCTGGTTCTGTGACCTAGGCCTCTGAGTCTTAGTCTCCCCGCCTGTGAAAGGGACACAGCAGTTCCTTCCTTGTCCAAGGAGTGGATGAACTTAGCATGCCTCCCAGTGTGCCTGGCACTGGGAGGTGCCTAGTTAAGTTGTAAATTACAGGGATCAGATCACCAATTGGTTGTTATTGGTTATTTCGATTCATTTCCCTAGCTTGTTCTAGAAAGGAGTCAGTATATTTTTTATGTAAAGGGCCACTTAGTAATAATTTAGGCTTTGTGGGCCGTATAGCTTATGTCACAGTATTCAACTTTGTCCTTGTGGCTCAAAAGAAGCCATGGATAATATAAACACAAATACAAATACAAATGGCTATAGCTGTGTGCCAATAAAACTTTATTCATAAGAACAGGTAGTGGAGCAGATTTGGCCTGTGGGGACTGAGTTTGCCAACTTTTGGTCCGAAGTGTCTCAGCATCATTTCTTTCTGATTACTAAAGAGGTTTAAATGCCTTTTCACAAACTGCTGCTCATTTTGAGTTTGCTTATGTTAGTTAACTGTTTGTATCCTTTCCTCATTTATCTGTGAGTTTCTCAGCTTTTTCTGGTTGATTTGTTAGAGGTTTTTTTATATTCTAGATATTTATTCCTCTTGGTTTTGGACACTATAGTTATCTTCACATCTGCTGTCTACCTATGGAGTTGTTATTGAATGCAAGTCCTTAATTTTAGTCTAGTACAAGAGGGTCTTATACACAGACTCCTTTTCTACTCTAGGACAAAGATGTCCTCCTATATTTAGTTTTGTTAGCTTTAGCTTTACTGTTCATATGTAGATCTTTTAATCCATTATGAGTTTAATTGTTGTATATGGTGTGAGGTAGGGATTCAATTTCCCCTGCCCCACCAGCAAGTCAGTTTTCCATGCACTGTCTATAGAACACTCTGTGATCATGTATCATCATAATAGACTAAGTTCCCACAAACACTTAGTCCTCTTATGTAATTTCTGTTCCCTTCTACTGGTTATTGATCTGTTTCTGCTGCAGTTCCACACTGTTTTTTACTATGGTTTTGTAATATATTAATATCTTTCTATAGCAGATGAGGCTAATTCTGACTTTTCAAGAGAAGTCAGAAAGCCAGATCTCTTTGTGAAATATCCTAATATGTTAGTGTTGGCATATGATTCCATTTTAATAGAATTGTGTTTGCCAAATCAAACGTGTCTGTGGCCTAGTTCCAGCCTGTGCCTGCCAGTTGGCAAACATGGCTATAACTTTCCCATGTGAATCTGACCACTGAATGCATGTCTGTGGATTTGCAGTGCTGGAGAAGACTGAGTTCAGGGATGAGTCCCAGTACTTTCGCTTCCACGCTGATGAAGAGATGGAGGGGACCAGCAGCAAGAACAAACAACTTCGCAATGACTTCAAGCTGGTGGAGAACATTCTGGCCAAGCGCCTGCTGGTAGGACCACAGCTGAGCTGCTGCCCCTTCCTTTCCAGAGCCCCATGCAGGCCTGGGAGTTGGACGACCTTCCAGCTATGGCCAGAGAAGGGGGCTCAGCTTGGAGTACCAGAATATGGGGGATTCTAGGTGGTCGGGCAACTCTGTCAAGAGGCTAGGCTGCATCACTGGCTGAGACTACCCTCCTAACAAAAGAGATTGGGCTTACAGACCTCCCTTCCTATCCCCTTGCTTCTCCTGTCCCCTCCCAGTACACTGTATAGAGTGGTTGGCCTCCTGAAGTGACTCATCCCGCATACCCCATAGCAACCCCCATCTTAACGCATGGCCCTCGGCAGGCAGTCAAGACAGAGGCTCAGGGAGGTTAGTTCTCTGGCCACTGCCAGGGTTGGAGCTGAAGGCGGACTCATATGAAGACAGCTCCATTAACTTCTCTCCCATAGTACTGTGGGGACTGCTGTTCCCTCTGATTTCGTTCCTCTCACTGTAAAGTCCTCCAGTGCTCCCCGTCATACTTAGGATAAAATTCAAACTCTCACTATGGCCTGCAAGACTCTTCCAGCCTCTCCAGCTTCATCTCCTATGTTCTCTTCCTCATTCCACCCAGCCACCCTGCTGTCATCTCTTTCCCTTCCCCTTCCTTTCCCCTTCCCTTCCCCTTTGCTTTCCCATCCCTTCTCTCTCCCTTCCCCCCTTTCTCCCTCTCTTCTCCTTTCTCTCTCTCTTTCTTTCCCCTCCCCTCCCCTCCCCACCCCTTTTCTCTCTTTTTGGCAGGGTCTCATGCGCCTAGGCTAGAGCTCAGTGGTACAATCATGGCTTTCGGCTGCCTCAACCTCCCTGGGCTCAAGTGATTCTCCCACGTTAGCCTCCCCAGTAGCTGGGACCACAGGCATGTGCCACCACACCTGGCTAATTTTTGTATTTTTTATATAGGCAGAGTTTTGCTATGTTGCCCAGGCTGGTCTTGAACTCCTGGGGTCAAACGATCCTCCCACCCCGGCCTGCCAAAGTACTGGCATTACAACTGGGAGCCATTTCGCCTGACCTCCGATCTCTTTTCTTACCCTCCAGTGCCTTGGGGCCTCCCTCAGGACCTTTGCATGTGCTGTGCCTGCTGCCTGGAGCACGTTCCTCCATGCTTTATGAAGTTTTGTTTTTCCGTTCACTCAGGTCTCAGCTCTCTCTGATAGCACCTCCTCTGACCCCTTGCCATGCCCTATCCCCTTAAGTGCTTTAATTCCAACTAGGTACATGCCCTGCATCACATTCTACATTTCTTTGTTTATTTGTTTCTAGTCTGCCTCCCCCACTCAGCAGGGCTGGGCTGGTCTGTCTTGTTTAAGATGGTGTCTCCGGCACCCATGAGAACTGCCTGGCCGTGTGATGGGCAGCATCTCCGTCAATGTCTGTTGACTGAATGAGTGCCTTTCCCTGTATCCCCACCACTGCCGAACTTCCAGACCTGTTTCCAGCATCCTGCCGTCCCACCCTGGTGCAGGACTGCCCTTCCCTAAACTCCCCAACTCCACGTTCTTGGTGGCTGGACACCTTTGGATCCGTGGGATTCATTCAGCCAGTGGCAGGCAGGCACAGATTGAGCACCGGTTCTGGGCCAGGCGCTGTTTGCATTTTGCTGTGCCTCGCCAGCCTGGATCTGGCTGCCTCCCTGCTAGACCTGGGACAAAGTCATGGTCCTCTGGGGGCTGTGGTGGACCCGCCTCGCTCCCTGACTGGGTTCCTTCTGCCCTGGGCCCTCAGATCCTGCCCCAGGAGGAGGACTACGGCTTCGACATTGAGGAGAAGAACAAGGCCGTGGTGGTGAAGTCCGTCCAGAGGGGCTCCCTGGCCGAGGTGAGGCCCTCAGGGGAGCTGGCAGGGGCCGTGAGCAGGTGGCAGAGTGGGGCATCTCTCTCCACACTCCTTGAGGCAGCCAAGCCCGGGAGATTCTGGAATGACCGCTGGCTCCTCTTCTCTCGTGGCCCACGTGGAGAAACTGAGTCCAGGACCCACTGTCCACAGTGGCTGGGGGTGCTGGGAGTAAGCACAGAGGTCCAGGGCTGTGCTTCTGGTATGTTCCACCGCTGCCCTCTGCTGGACGCTGTGGGGAGGTACAGAAAAAAGTAGGTTTCTCAGTTTTCTGCACCAAGTCACAGTGGCTTGAAGAAGATAAGATCATTGCCCTCAACCCAAAGCCTAGAGCGGGATGGGTTAGGAGGGTGAGGGCGTAGCTGGCCCAGGATTTAGCTCCGGGCCTTCCAGCTTCTCCTGGGGCTTGTAGAGGTGGGTGGGGGAGATGCACCTGCTGTGCTGGCACAGCGGGCTTGCCCCTGTGGGAATTAGGAATGCCTCGGGCTACAAGTAGCCACATGCCCGTGGCCAGAGTGGCTGGGCTGACCTTGCCAGGGATGTGAGCAGTTGCAAGGAGACAGTTGTCAGTCTTGGTTCAGGTCAGCGTTTCTTTGTCTTTCTTGGCCAGGCCCTCACAGACACAGGTGGCTGCCCCAGCGTGACCCTCGTGTTCCTGCACAACAGGGTCAGGCCCCAGCAGAGTTTCTCCCAGGAGCCGCCTTCCCATGAGCTTCGCTTTGTGGCTTCTAAGGCAGAACCGGGTCCCTTGTGCCCCTTAACCGCTAACCACAGACACAACGCAGTCACCCTGGTGGGCTCACCGAGGCCTGCCAGATGCCTTGGGCGAGCACTTTCTGCCGAACACATTTGAGGTTCCTTGGTGAGGAGGGAAGGAGCTTAGTAACCGTGTGCGTGTCTGTCCCCCGCTGCCCCACCCAGATGGCCGGCCTGCAGGTTGGGAGGAAGATCTACTCCATCAATGAGGACCTGGTGTTTCTGCGCCCCTTTTCGGAGGTGGAGTCCATCCTCAACCAGTCCTTCTGCTCCCGCCGCCCTCTGCGCCTCCTGGTGGCCACCAAGGCCAAAGAGTGAGTGTCTCCGGAGTAGGGTGTCCAGCAGCCCTGCCTCTCAGACTGAGTAGTGGCCCAGGGCTGAGGTGGGATGAACTGTCCTGGTCCCCCATGGCTGCGACCCATTGCTGGAGGCACACAACACAAGCCGGACCTTCATTCATTCGGTGGATGTTTATGGAGAGCCATTCTGTGTCAGGTGGCACTTGGGGTCCCAGGGGTCCAGCCATGTGGGGACACATGTGGTTCCTGCCATTCATAGATCTCAGATCTAGTTGGGGGAGGGAGCAGGAGACAGACGATACGCAGATAGAGAAGTAAGGCACACGCTGAGCCCGTGCTAGCGAGCTTGCCGCAGGTAAGTTTCTATAAACCTGAGAAAGGACCTGGAGTATGCAGAGGGATGGCTACCAGGGAGGCAGCACTGCAAGTGGGGGGAGGACCTGAAGCAGATGAGTGGGGAGTCGAGGGGATTTCTGGAAGAAGAGGGCTCCAGGCAGGGGAAACAGCCAGGGCAGAGGCCCTGAGGTGGACCTTATCTGGTGCTTTGGAGGAGCAGAAGGAAGCTGATGGGGCTGGAGCAGTGAGTGAGAGGGAGGGGTGGGTGGTGAGAGAGAGGGAGGGGTGGGGGGGGGGGGGGAGGGGGGGGGGGGGGGGGGGTGAGGGGGAGGGCTGGGAGTGAGTGAGGGCGATCTAGGCAGTGAGATCTGTGGGGCAATGGGGTCATGGCCCTGTAGGTCCCTGGTAAGGACCCATGGAGAGTCACTGGAAGCTGCAATTAGAGCTCCGATTATCAGAGGCAGAGGTGGCACCGGGGAGCTGAAGAGGTGGTGGCTCAGCAGAGTGCGGCAGCAGGCGGGAGAGGCAGACCCTGTTAGGTGTGGGTACGGGGAAGCAAAGTATTTTCTCTTTGAAAAATTTTGCCTCTGGTTTTTCACTTCTCCCTTAGACAGATCTTCTCTTGACAGGAGGGATGGCAAGTTTTAAACACAATGATTTCAGGAAAAAGGCGTGCTGATTTAGGGAAAATGTGGTTGATAGATTGGTTGACATGTGGAAGTGGCAGAGAGCGCCAAGGTGGAATGTGTCTGCTTAAAGCTATGGAGACACCTGGGTTTGAGAGCAGGCACCCAGCACACCTTTTTCTGCAGCGGGGATGGGAGGGATGACTGGACATGCCCCAGATGGGGATGTGGGCAGGGCACCGACGCTGCAGGAGCAGGGACACCCACTGCCCTCCCTGGCAGGCGCTGCCTCTCTGCTTTGGGGATCGTCCCACAGAATGGCCCAGACCTGCCTTCCAAGGGGACTAGTGTGAGTGTTTTTCTAGGGCCAGCACCGAGATGTGCGATATGCCGGGTCACTTGTCACCCTCCCACCTGCGATTGTTAAACAAATATTGACTGGCTGGAGTGCTGGTCTCACCTCCAAGGGCCTTAGGCCAGGAGAACGCTGGAGAAGGTGTGGGAGGGTGGTCTGGAATTTCCCTGGAGGGTAGAAGCTCTAAGGGCAGGCCAGCGGGTGGTGCTAAATCCAGGATGGTGGTGTGAGATCTGCCTGATTGACAGTTCTCAATGTATTTTGGAGCTGGAAAGCCTGGTGTCACTGCTACTATTTTGGGCTGGATTTTCCCAGGGTTTCCGAGGCAGACTCTCCAGGTCAGCCCTGGGGTTATCAGGAGCGATGCCGCTTTTCCTCATGGCCTTTTTCCCTGCCTCTTCTGCCTGGTGTAGGATCCTCAAAATCCCCGACCAGCCAGACACACTGTGCTTCCAGATTCGGGGAGCTGCCCCGCCCTACGTCTATGCAGTGGGGAGAGGTGAGTGGGAGCCTGGAGAGAGAGGGGAAGGTGCAGGAGACGGTGGTTCGTTCTGTGTGGCAGGAGTTCAGAGCCTTCTGAACTCTTGGCTTCTGTCAGACAGTGTACCATCAGCACTTACTTTCTGTGCCTGATGCCAAGACTTGCAAACACAAATGCCTGTTGAAGTCAGGCCGGCTGCAAGTAAGTAGCGACCCCAGTGGAAGACAGTAGGGAGTGGTGAGGACTATGGCACAGTGAAAAAATACATGTTCACTCTGGAAGGAGCGGTGGCTTTTCAGCTGGAGCTCATTATTGCCAGACAGCAATGTGTTCCCACTCTCGCCAGACTCAATTTTCTAAGAGAAGCTAGAAATGGGAATTTGAGGGCTCGGCAGCAATCCTTCTGTGGCCAGATCCCACCCAAGGGCCACTGGTTCAAGACCTCTGCTTTCTGCCTTGCCTATTCTTCGTGTGCTGTTAAAGGTATCACTGTGTCTTGGAGATGGAACCAAGCAGGTCTGTGATATTGGAGCCCAAAACCTTTTTGCATCTAAGTGCCCCCCACCCCCCAGTTTAAACAATTGTTCACTTGTGTGGTCATAGTTGTGCGTTTACTAGGTATTCATTAAGAAAATGCATACCATGACAGAAAGTTACTGAGAATTATATATATATATACATATGTGTTTTTGTTTCTGGTTTTTTTTTTTTTTTTTTTTGTTTTGTTTTGTTTTAGATGATGGAGTCTTGCTTTGTCACCCAGGCTGGAGTGCAGTGGCGCGATCTCAGCTCACTGCAACCTCTGCTCCTGGGTTCGAGCGATTCTTCTGCCTCAGTTTCCCAAGTAGCTGGGACTACAGGCACGTGCCACCACGCCCAGCTAATTTTTGTATTTTTTTTTTTTTTTAAAGTAGAGACAGGGTTTCACCATACTGTCCAGGCTGGTCTCAAACTCCTGACCTCATGATCCACCCGCCTCGGCCTCCCGAAGTGCTGGGATTACAGGCGTGAGCCACAGCACCTGGCCAATAATATTTTAAAGTAGGTTTTCATTTTGTCCTTAAAGTAGTGATTGTTTTCTTTTGACAGCTGAGCCTCCTCTCCAGAGGACATCGTCACTGTCTGGAGACATTTGTGTTTATCGTAACTGGGGAGGGTTTGTTTCTGGCATCTAGTAGGGGCATGGAGCCTGCTAAACATGCCCGCAGTGCACAGGACAGCCCCAGAGAATCACACAGAATGATCTGGCCCAGAATATCAGCAGTGCCTTGGTGAGAAATCCTGCCTCAGGACATCTGTGGAGATACTGATAATAGGTAGTCATATGTGTTCATAGGTGAAGAAGGCAAAAAGAATAAAACAGCCAGCCAGGTGCGGTGGCTCACGCCTGTGATCCCAGCACTTTGGGAGGTGGAGGCCGGCAGGTCACCTGAGATCAGGAGTTTGAGACCAGCGTGGTCAAGATGGAGAAACCCTGTCTCTACTGAAAATACAAAAATTAGCAGGGTGTGGTGGCAGCCGCCTGTAATCCCAGCTATTCGGGAGGCTGAGGCAGGAGAATCGCTTGAACCCAGGAGGCGGAGGTTGCAGTGAGTGGAGATCATGCCACTGCCCTCCAGCCTGGGCCACAGAGCGAGACTCCATCTCAAAAAAAAAAAAAAAAAAAAAAAAGGGAAAACAACTGCTATTTCTCGAGCGCTTACTGAGTGCCAGGCGTGATGCTAAACACTGCTTGTGTGTTAGCTCATCGGATCTCCCAGGGACCCTCTGAGCAGGGATTATTACAGTGTTCCCATTTTACAGATGAGGAAGCCAAGGTCCAGAGGGTGAGGAACTTGCTGAAGTTTCCAGGGTCGGCCTGTGGCAGAGCCAGGCTTTGAAGCCATGCAAATTCCCAGGGGCTGTACTTGACACCACCACACCATTCAGGCCCGGCATTGTCCCATGTCTGGGCAAAGCTCGGCATTTGTTGGCATTTCCAGACCATTACATGAATTACAAAAAACCCTAGGTTCAAGACCTACCGTTTGGGAATTGTGGAATATCTGAAAAAACTTGCCTTTGGAGTTTAATAGGCCTGGTTGGAATCCTGGCTTCTGGCCATTCGACCGAGAGAGCGGGGTTTAGCCTCTCTGAGCCTGTCTCCCTTTCTGCCAAATGGGGCCAATCCTGGCTGGTAGCACAAGGTGGCTGCTGGACTTTAAAGGAGACGAGGCTCCAGAGTGAAATGGACCCAAATCAAATCAGCTTGCCTTGCTGCGTCACCTTGGGCCAGCTGCTACTTCTCTGAACCTGTTTCTTCTTCTGCAAAATGGAATGTCAGTCCATTCTTTGCCCTGGAGTGGATCAGAGGGCAGCTGTGGGGCTGGAGGTGGAGTCTTTGGGCATGTGTCTGGGGATTGCGGTGGTAGGAGGTGGGGGACAGCCTTCAGCGGGCTGCTTGTCCTTGCCTGGCATCCAGTCTCATGCCCTGCTGTCCCCTTAGGCTCCGAGGCCATGGCTGCCGGGCTGTGCCCTGGTCAGTGCGTTCTGAAGGTCAATGGCAGCAGTGTGATGAATGATGCTGCACCTGAGGTTTTGGAGCACTTCCAGGCATTCCGGAGTCGGCGGGAAGAGGCCCTGGTGAGTTGACCAGCAGCCAGGGCCATTAGGGAAGTCCTGCTGGGTGGGGGTAGGGGGCTGAGGGCTGGGGGCTGTCTTCTGTTCTCTGGAGAAAAGCCTGCATGTACCACTGAATGTGAGTAGGGTGGGACTGCTGACCCAGCAGGGCACAGATGAGCCTGAGCTCTGCCTCCTTAAACCAGAGGAGCTGAGCCATGATACCCAGTGGCCTCGGTTTTTACAGCTGTGAAATGGGTGCGACCAGACCCTCTTCTTACCACATAGGCATGTTGGGTGGATAGTCACGTGATGTTAAAAGTGGATACTCCATTCCGTTGGGGGCCAGGGTTCTGGTGGAGGGTGATGTTCCCTCATTGATTCATGCACTGGTTCACTCAGTAAGTGTGTTTTGAGCACCTGCTGTGCACCAGGTGCGTTCGTAGACCCTGGGGACACAGGAGAGACTACATGTCTGCTCCCATGGCTCTGCCTCACGTTTTCACATCCCCTCGCTTCTGTATGGAGCATGGACTGGGCATGGTAAGGACTGAGCATGACTGGTGGTCAGTGAGTTTCCAGACCTCTGGAATCCACGGGCAGTTCACACCTCAGCCCTGTCCTTCCTCCCTACCTGCTGGCGTGATGGCTGCCTCCTTACTCTGGCTTCTGGCAGGGCCTGTACCAGTGGATCTACCATACCCACGAGGATGCCCAGGAAGCGCGAGCCAGCCAGGAGGTCCCCAGTGAGGACCCCAGTGGCGAGCAGGCCCAGGAGGAAGACCAGGCTGATTCAGGTAACGGACAGGGCATGGCGTGACGGGAGCTTCCAGAGGGACTGAGACTCCAGAGGGGCTGAGTCCTCTCCTGTGTCCCCTCCCCCGCCTCCTCCCAGCTGGTCCACCTCCATGTCAGCAGGTTTGCTTTATTGTTTTGGAGACAGGGTCTGGCTCTTTCACCCAGGCTGGAGTGCAGTGGTGCGACCACAGCTCACTGCAGCCCCAACCTCCCGGGTTCAAGCGATCCTCCCACCTCAGCCTCCTGAGTAGCTGGGACTATAGGCATGCAGCACCACACCCGGATAAATTTTTAATTTTTAGAATATTTTTTAGAGATGAGGTCTCCCTGTGTTGCCCAGGCTGGTCTCTAACTTCTGGGCTGAGGTGATCTTCTTGCCTCGGCCTCCCAAAGTGCTGGCATTACAGGTGCACCACTGCGCGTGGCCACAAATTGGAATCTCTCATATCCCTGGGAGATTGGATACAAGACCTACCTTGGATAACAAAATCCGTGCAAACCATGTTCAAATAAGGCAGACACTGAGCTGTAACCAGCCCAGCTGTTTCTGTACCCCACTTCCATTTCCAGATTCTACACATCACTTTTTTTCCTATCCATAAATTTCCTCCCAGTTTATTCTGCAGTGTTATGTCAGTTTCTGATGGCTGCTGTGGCAAAGTGCCATAAACTCAGCAGCTTAAGAAACACGCACTGTAAGTTATTACTTACAGCTCTGGAAGTCAGAAGTCCGAGTCCCACTGGGTTGAAGTCAAGGTGTCCACAGGGCTGTGGTCCTCCTTGGTGCTGTCGGGGAGAATCCGTTTCCTTGCTGGTTTCGGCTGCCTGGTCCAAGCCACCATCGTTTCTTACCAACACTGTTGCAGTAGCCTGCTCACGGCCTTATTCTCCTCCCAGAGGCTGTTCTCCTAAATATGAAGAGGCCCTTTCAGTGGCTCTCTCCCTCCTCAAGGCTAAGACAGGAGTTTACCGTGGCCTTCGATGCCTTGTGTGATCTTGTCCAGACTGGCTCTCCAGCACCTTCCATCATTTCCCCACTTGCCCTCTCTGCTCCGGCTACTCTGGCTGAATGTACTCCTGCCCTGGGGCCTTTGCGCTCGCTGTGCCCACTGCCTAGAAGGCTTCCTCCAAAGCCCTCCTCGCCTCACCTCACCTTCCTCCCCTCACTCTGGTCTCTGCTGAGATGTTACCTCATTTGGCTTCCAGCCTTCCCGCTGCTGTCCCTGGGTCCCCGTCTGAGCCTGTGTGAGGACAGCCCTGTGGTCAGCCTGACTGTGGACAACGTGCATCTGGAACATGGTGTGGTGTATGAGTACGTGAGCACAGCGGGCGTCAGGTGCCACGTGCTGGAGAAGATTGTGGAGCCCCGTGGCTGCTTCGGCCTCACCGCCAAGGTCTCCTTGGGCCCTGCCTGGCCCTGCTCTACCCTGAGGGATTAAAGGCAGTTTCTCGTATCAGAGGTTGGGAGAAGGAGTTGGGTGGGACACCTGAATCCCATTTCCTTGGCTAAGCCTGGAGCCCTGAATTCTGGCTGTTCTCCTACCACAGGGTAGTGTGGGACGGTGGAGTGACTTGTCCCTTTTAGCCTCAGTTTACTCCCCTGCACCACGGGCCAGTGATATACCTGCCCTCATGGGGGTATTACCAGTGGGACAGGAGTCACTGTGGGTGAACCGCTCAGGATCCTCCCGGCACACGGGCAGTGCTCAGTAGCCATTGACATTTCCGCAGGTCCTGGAGGCCCTTGCTGCTGACGACAGCGTCTTTGTGGAGAACTGCGGGCGGCTCATGGCCCTGAGCAGCGCCATGGTGACCATGCCTCACTTTGAGTTCCGCAACATCTGCGACACCAAGCTGGAGAGCATTGGCCAGAGGATCGCCTGCTACCAGGAGGTGCCTGCCGCTCCCCCCGGGGCCTCTGCCACGGGTCCCAGATATAGCATCTCAGACTGGGATATTTGGGTTGTCAATGTCAAAGCCCAACCCAACTCAGCTGAAACGAACAGGAGAATGTATGGTGTGTATTACTGAAAAGGACGGAGGTGAACTTACCATAGCATCATGGCAGAGTGGCCTCTCTGCATCTCCTGGCTTCGTTCTCCTTTGTGTTGGGTTCACTCTCAGGCAGGCCCTTCTCATGTGGTGAGGACACGTTAGCCCTTGGTAGCTCTAGCCTCAGCCAGCCCAGGTGAAATTAACTCCAAGGCGCTCTTGTTGGCTTGGCTTGGGTCACTTGGCTCACTCAGTTCCAGTCGCCATAGGGATGGAGAGGCACCCTGACCCTGAACTTCAGGAACCGAGGGTTGGGCAGAGACAGTGCTTCAAGGATGGCTCAGGGGTAGCTAAAATGGAGCCATGGATGGGGTGGGCACCCAGAGGCCTTGGGTTCCTCCAGGCCTTCCCTGAAATCTGGAGCCATGAAACACGGTACAAGGGTTCCCCGTCTCATTTGGAGCTACTGGCATTTTGTCCAACTGTGGGACATCTGGCCTAGGCCAGGATAAAGTGGATCCTAGGTGTGGGCCAACATTTCCAGACCCTGCCCTCCGACTCACGACCTCATGGCCTCCACTTTCTCAGTTTGCAGCCCAGCTGAAGAGCAGGGTCAGCCCGCCCTTCAAACAAGCCCCCCTGGAGCCCCACCCGCTGTGTGGCCTGGACTTCTGCCCTACCAATTGCCACATCAACCTCATGGAAGTGTCCTACCCCAAGACCACCCCCTCAGTGGGCAGGTCCTTCAGCATCCGCTTTGGACGCAAACCCTCCCTCATCGGCCTTGATCCGGAGCAAGGTACCTGCGTGTGTCTATTAGAACTTGGGTTCAGATTCTGCACTCCAGATCTAAAATAGAAAACTGTCTGAAGGTCAGCTGCCAGGGCTGGAATGGCAGCTCATGGTCATCAGGGATGACCGGCCGTCTTTGTGGGCAGCATCTCTAGATGTGGCTTTATGCCTTGTGGATGATGGTGTCTGCTGGGGTGCTGGCCATCATGTCTGTATTGCAGGCAGGAAAAAGAGCACAGTAGTTAAAAGCATGTTAGCACCAGACTGGAACATTCTTCTTGAAGTAACCGAATGGATTAAGAGTGTTTAAAAGGGAAAATTTCCTCCTTCAGTGGGATCCTTGAAATGGGTTTTATTGTTCTGCCCGAAGGCCCCGTGGATGCTGGGGGCTGTTTTCCAGTGAGCTCTCCCTTCCTCCTCTGCAGGCCACCTGAACCCCATGTCCTACACCCAGCACTGCGTCACCACCATGGCTGCCCCCTCCTGGAAGTGCTTGCCTGTTGCAGAGAGTGATCCCCAAGGCCAGGGTCTCCATGACAGCAGCTTCATTGGCCAGGAAGACCGGGGCCTGAGCTTCCTGCTCAAGCAGGAGGACCGTGAGATCCAGGATGCCTACCTGCAGCTCTTCACCAAGCTGGATGTGGCCCTGAAGGAGATGAAGCAGTACGTCACCCAGATCAACAGGTGAGCCCTGGCCCCGGGAGTGTCCGGAGTGATTGGGGGCAGGCAGGTGTCTCAGTCCCGGCTCTGTGGACACTGTGGGTAGTATCATTCTTTGTAGTGGGGTTGTGGGGGGGGCTGTCCTGGACATTATAGGCTATTTCCAGTATCTTTGTCATCTGCCCACTAGATACCGGTAGCACCCCCTCCCCCGATTGTGACAACCAAAAATGTCTTCAGACACTGCTACATGCCCCACTTCGGGGAAAATCATCCCTGATTGAGAACCACTGCTCTAATGAAATATTGTGGATATAGGCAGTGCTCATCAGTGAGGCTAAAACCATCTGCTGAGAGATTCTGGGGGCAGCTTTATAATTTTAACATCACAGACAGTTAGACAGCTGGACAAGTGGCCCTTTTGCTGTAATACAACAGGACACACACAGAGCCCCGCCCACAGGGGTCTTGCCAGCAGATACGGCTGTCACCTCACGAAGGCTCCAGTTCCCACTACTCAGCTCTAGGATGAGGGGATGAAGGTGGTTCACTGGCACCTTGGGGAAGCTTTTGGCCAAATCTGGAGGGTGGGTGATTCTACGTGACAAATGACCTGGTTTCTTCAACGAATGACGGGGAAGCAGGCGTGGGAAAGAGGGGGAACTGTTAGAGATTAAAGAAGCTTGAGAGACGGACCAGCCAGATGCAGCGTCTGAACCCACTTAGAAATCCGTTTCTAGCGTGCCCATGTGAGGTGGCATTTTGAAACAATCAGGGATGTTTGTCCACAGACTGGGAGCGGGATGGTGTTGAGGACTCATTCATTCTGTTAGGCGCAGTTGAGCACTGTGGTCACGTGTGAAGCAATGTCTCTCACTCTCGACACCAGTGACATTTGGGGCTGGATTACTGCTTGCTGGTGAGCCGTCCTGGGTGTCGGAGGATGTTTAGCAGCATCTGGGGTCTCTACCAATGAGATGCTGGTAGCAACATTCCTGTTGAGTTGAAACAACTAGCAGTGTCTTTGGACGTAGCTAAAGGTTTCCTGGGGGGCAAAATTGCCCCAGTTGGGAACCACCTGTTTAAAAGAAAGTCCATATGTATTTGAGTCACCCGTGGAAGTAGGTATGGGGGGATCACCTGCTATCTTGGACTCGTTTTAAATGCTCCAGTGGGCTGGGCACGGTGGCTCATGCCTGTAATTTCAACACTTCGGTAGGCTGAGTTGGAAGGATTGCTTGAGTCCAGGAGTTTGAGACCAGCCTGGGCAATGTAGTAAAACCCTGTCTCTACAAAAAAAAAAAAAAAAAAAATCCTAGGATTAGGCAGGTGTGGTGGCATACACCTGCTGTCCCAGCTCATCAGGGTGCTGAGGCAGGAGGATGACTTGAGCCCGGGAGATCGAGGCTGCAGTGAGCCATGATTGCGCCACTGCGCTTCAGCCTGGGTAATGGAGCGAGACCCTGTCTCAGAGCAGCAAAAATGCTCCAGGGAAATACAAAGTGTTGGGGATAATGGAGGAAACAAGGTGGACCTGAGCGGCTGCTGTTGCAGCTCCCTGCTGGATACCTGGGCTCTTCGTATTCTCTCTACTTTTGTGTATGATGGAAGTATTTCATGATAAGGGGGAAAGAGTGTAAGCTCTGGAGCTGGGAGGCCTGGGTTCAAGTCCTGGTCCTACTACTTATCAGCTGTGCAAACTTAGGCAAGTCACTTAACCACTCTGAGCCTTGGTTTCCTCGTTTGTCAAATGGGCAATTGAGGCTAATCATGCTACTGACTTTGTATAGATGGGGTAGGATTACATCTAGCCATGGCTTACGGATCACTGCTCACTTAGAAGACATGAGACATGGTTCTGAGCACTTTATCTAGCTGTCATCCAGGCTACAGTGTGATGATGTGATCATAGCTCACCACAGCCTCAAACTCCTGGGCTCAAGTGATCCTCCTGCCTCAGCCTCCTGAGTAACTAGGACTACAGGCACATGCCACCGTGCCTGGCTAATTTTTGTATTTGTTACAGAGATGTGGTCTCACAGCTGGTCTTGAACCCTTGAGCTCAAGAGATCCTCCCACCTCAGCCTCCCAAAGTGCTAGGATTACAGGTGTGAGCCACTGGGCCTGGCCTGTTTACTCACATTTTAACTCCCTTAATTGTCACAGGAGGGTAAGATACAGATACTGATATGATCCCATTTTACGTATGAGGAAACTGAGTTTCCAAGCGTTTAAATAATTAGCTTTAGGTCTCTAAGCTAGGAAATGGCATTGTTGGGATTTGAATCTGGGGTTTCGCTAGCTTCAGAACTGTGCTCTTAACCATCACTCAGACCCGACGTCGGGAATTGATGAGCTGTGGCCCATCGGCCATATGGCGACATCGGTCTGTTGTTTTCCTTTTTTACTTTTGGAGATGGAGTTTCCCTGTTTTGCCCACGCTGGAATTCAGTGGTATGATCTCAGCTCACTGCAACCTCTGCCTCCCAGGTTCAAGTGATTCTCCTACCTCAGCCTCCCGAGTAGCTGGGATCACAGGCACCCACCACCACACCCAGCTGATTTTTGTATTTTAGTAGAGAGAAGTTTTCGCCATGTTGGCCTGGCTGGTCTCAAACTCCTGACCTCAGGTGATCAGCCTGCCTTGGCCTCCCAAAGTGCTGGGATTACAGGCGTGAGCCACCACACCCAACCTGTTTTCATTTTTAAACAAGGTGTCATTGGAACACAGCCACGCCCATTTGCTTCCACACTGTCCGAGTCTTTCCTGCAGCAGGTTGAGTGGTTGTCACTGAGACCCCGAAGCCTATCAAGTTGGAAGGATTTACTCTCAGGGTCTTTAAAGAAAAAGCTTCCTGGCCTGCGTTCTGGTAGAGCCTTGTGTAGCTTGACCATGAAAGAAGAAGCTGTGCGTCTCACAGCCCAGCGGGAGGGCCAGTGCTCATGCCTGTAGCCACTGGTGGATTTTCAGGGAAGGGACACGAAGGGCCAGGTCTATGTTTCTGACTTCAAGGCCTTTGCTCTCATAGGCTGCTGTCCACCATCACAGAGCCCACCTCGGGAGGGTCCTGTGACCCATCCTTGGCTGAGGAGGCCTCCTCCCTGCCCCTGGTCAGTGAAGAGAGCGAGATGGACAGGAGTGACCATGGCGGCATCAAGAAGGTGTGCTTCAAGGTGGCCGAGGAGGACCAGGAGGACTCAGGCCATGACACCATGAGTTACCGCGACTCCTACAGGTGGGTGCCTCCGTAGGGGGCCTGGGGTTAGATGAGGATGTCCCTGGACAGGTGAGGCCACAGAGCCGTGGCAACATCAGAATCAGTGAACATTTCCCAGGGTGCAGTGGGCTCAGGGCGCTGTTGCTGATAATGGTTTTGGGGGATTATCTGAGCCCCCAAAGCACATCCCAAAAACCCACTTAGACTCCCAGCCTCAAACCTGACATTTTACGGTTCACCCCACATGGATCCATCTGTTCCGCCTCGGTGTCATCCCACACATGCTGACATGATGTTGTCAGACACAGGGCAAGATTCCGTGGCGTGTTCGAAAACTCAGTATAAGACATACGGTTTCTGAAACAAACGCTATTCCTGTTTACTTAGTCCAAGGAGGAAGAGCACATTTGTATTTTTGCCTCCTAACCTGAGATGATCTAAATTTTCTACTGGTTAATTATAACAAGATCAGTAAGGTCCTGAGTAGTGGTTAAATAGACTAAAACTCAGTTTCCTGTAATAAGGCCATATCATGGGTAAGTTTAATTCCTTCCTGTAGATAAGCAAGCCCTGCGGTCCCAGTGAAAGGTGACATAACATTTGCCCACTGTGTTTACGTGGAATCTTAGAGGGGTGTTTCAGTTGTTTGTGGGCAAAACTCAGAACTGAAACAGCTTGAGAAGACAGCCTTCCCCCGTCCTCCCATCGTTAATGCTCTTCCTATCTTCAAGGGATTTGCCCGACCCTCATTCCCAGCTTGCCTGGCACCTGTGGAATGAAGGAGACGTGCTGGCTGCTGTGGCACTTCGTGTCCTCAGAACCTCATGTCCGCAGCCTGAGATTTCACCGTCTCTCTGGGATTTCATTCTTACATTTTTGGGTCCTCCAGTTTTTCCGTTAATTTTCAAAAAAGTGAAGGAAAAAGTGTCAGGATTGTGGTTCTGAGGTCCTGGGTCCCTGTCCTCAGGAGGTTTCCAGCCAGCTTGGGGGCTGGGGAGACGGAAGATAGAGCTGCGTGGTTGCATGTGGAATGGGCAGGTGTCTCAGGGCAAGGCTGTCCCTTGGGGACACTGGACAGAGTGACACCTGAGTGGAAGTGATTCACCATCCTCCTCCTATTTCTGCCTTTCTGTGCTAGAGCGTAGAAACATTTCCAAACCCTCAGGCATGGAAAGCCCACCAGGCCGGTCTTCCCTGCCCTTGGCACCCAGGGCCGGTGCTCAGTGCCCTCTCTGGGCTGCATGCCCACCCGAGGGCCCAGGGGTTTTGTTTACACTCTAGAAAGTGGGTTTCGGGTGCTGGGATCGGATGGCCTGAGCTAAGGGTGACTCAGCCCCTTCTCTGGGCCCCTCTGCAGTGAGTGTAACAGCAATCGGGACTCGGTCCTGTCCTACACCAGCGTGAGAAGTAACAGCTCCTACCTGGGCAGCGACGAGATGGGGTCTGGTGAGTGGAGCGGCAGCGGCCAGTGCTCAGGGAGAGGCTCCTCCCCATGAGATTTAGTTTTAGTTTACTTTATTGTACTTACTCTGCGTTATATTGTTTTGTATTTTATTACATGGTCCTGTACTTGATTTCCTTCCATTCATTCATTCAGCAAATATTTATTGAGTCTCTTATTATGTGCTGGGTGCTGGGAATGCAGCAGTGAATGAAACAAACTTCTCAGCCCTCTTGGAGCTGATGTTCTCCCTGAATGTCATGGACATGGAACAGATAGAAGCATGCATGGTGCAGTTCTGTGTGCTTGTGTATGGTCACGTATGATGAGTGGTTGTGATGAGGGTGCTGACAATAAACAGGTTAACCTCAGGGTTTATGTAAAAATGATAACATGCACAAACCAAAAATCCAAATGACATGGAGCAGTTCAAAGAAGTACATAAGGCTGGGTGTGGTGGCTCACGCCTGTAATCCCAGCACTTTGGGAGGCCGAGGTGGGTGGATCACTTGAGGTCAGGAGGTCGAGACCAGCCTGGCCAACATGGTGAAACCCCATCTCTACTAAAAAACACAAAAATTAGTTGTGGTGGTACACACTTATAATCCCAGCTACTCAGGCGGCTGAGGCAGGAGAATTGCTTGAACTTGGGAGGGGGAGGTTGCAGTGAGCCGAGATCTCACCACTGCACTCCAGCCAGAGCGACAGAGTGAGACTCCATCTCAAAAAACAAGCAAACAAAGGAAGTAAATAAAAATGAGTGAGAATCTCATCATCTCCCCCAGAAATGACCCTTGCCAGCATTTGGAGTTCATTGGTGAGGGTCTGTGAATGCACAGATGGACAGGTGGGTAGATGGCTGGACAGACAGGCATAGACAATACTTTATAAATTAGATCATGCCCTACTTACAATATTTACTGAAAGCCTGAAATTGGTTTTTATTTTACTCTCTTTTACTTCAGACTTTAAAGCAATTCATTTTGCAGGTAGGTTGTTGTATTCACACAGTGTGCATAATTCAGAAGGCACCAGAGGGTGCACGGTGACAAGCCTCCCCCAGCCCTTGGTTTTCAGGCTGTCACCGCTGTTCCTGCTGTCACTACAGTCTTGCGTGTCCTTTCAGAGATAGTCTGTGCCTCACAATTTAATTTTAATTATACTTCAATTAACAGACGAAAAAGGAGCTCTAGCAAAGTGGAAGAAATTGTTGAACTTTAGATGAATGTTTCATCACATAAGATCTTTAACTGCACAAACTGCCCCCAGGAGGCTGTAGGAAGGAGTTGGGAATGACAGCTGGTGTAGCTGAACCAGCCAGGCGAGGAATCGGGAGACGTGGCCTCTGGTTCCTTCTCTTTGCTCCTCAGTCCCTCATTTGCAGAATGGAAACAGTAACAGTGCCTTACAGTCTTGTCATGCATTAGTGCCTGTTGTCCATTTTGCAAATGAAGAAACAGACTCAGAGAGGTCAGGTGATTTGCCCTGTGGCTCACAGCCAGGACCTGGTCTTCAGACTCCAGATCCCCTGTGGGTTTGGAATTCTGTAGCTGTGTCCAGCTCTTGGGAAGGTGGTTGAGATGGGGTGAGGTGGGGCAGGAATGGCTGATGGCTGTTGCTTCTACCTCCCGCCAGGAGATGAGCTGCCTTGCGACATGCGGATCCCATCTGACAAGCAGGACAAGCTTCATGGCTGCCTGGAGCACCTCTTTAACCAGGTGGGACCTTTGCCCCACTCCTGGTGCAACTTTGGGTTCCTCCCGTCACACCTGGGGAGGGCCCGTGACCCGGGGGCTGTGGGTCCTCGGTGTCTGCTGCAATGTGTAGGGCCACAGGGCCCAAACCAATGCCAGGCTTCTTGCTCCCCAGGTGGACTCCATCAATGCTCTCCTCAAGGGGCCAGTCATGAGCCGGGCTTTCGAGGAGACCAAACATTTCCCCATGAACCACAGCTTACAAGGTGAGGGGCAGCCAGCGCCCACAGAGACAGCCTGCGATGGGGAAGGGTGCTAGACAGGGCGGGATACCCGGGCTCCTGCTCAGCTCTGCCCCTCTACTGCTGAACGGCTGTGGGCTCATCCAGGGACAGCGATTTTGGCCCTGGGTCACACCCAGCCCATGGCCTGTTTGTATAGATTCTGAGCCAAGAACAGTTCTTTCTCTTTTTGTTTTCTAGCTTTCTTTCTTTTTGTTTTTTGGAGAAAGAGTCTCACTCTGTCACTTAGGCTGGAGTGCAGTGGTGTGATCCCCGCTCACTGCGGTCCTGACCTCCCAGGCTGAAGTTATCCTCACAACCCAGCCTCCTACAAGTAGCTGGGACTACAGGTGTGTGCTACTTTGCCTGGCTAATTTTCGATTTGTTTTTTTGGAGAGACATGGTTTTGCCATGTAGCCAAGGCTGGTTTTGAACTCCTGGGCTCAAGGGATCTTCCTGCCTTGGCCTCTTGAAGTGCTGGGATTTTAGGCGTGAGCCACTGTGCCCGGCCTTCCTTCATGTTTTTTAAACCATACTCATTTTTTGCTTATTAATGATAACACTTTTTAAAAAGTATAATTCTTAAAAAAATTTCATTTTGAAAGGACCTTATTGAATTCCTTATATATGAAAAACTGGTATAACATGGCAAAAATGTATGATGAGCTATAATGATAAATTAAATGCAAACAACAAAATATCATTACACTGTAGTTAGGCACTGTTGCCTGCCAAGGGCTCCTGGTTCTTCATTTAAGAGAGGGATTTGTGAATTAAAGAAGTGTTAAGGGCTTACCAGCACCCAATTGAGGCTTTCTTCTCGAAATGATTGAGGGAAAAGGAATTGAAATTTCTTATCTTCTCCCACCTACCTTTCCCCCCATTTTCCCACCTACCCACCCTACTATCCATCAATCTACCCATCTACCCGTCCACCATCTGTCCATTCATCCATTCATCCATCTACTCATCCATCCATTCACTCAGCCATTCATCCATCTACCCATCCACCCACCAACCCATCCACCCACCCATCCATCCACCCACACACCCACCCACCCACCCACCCACCCATCCATCCACCCACCGACCCATCAATCCACATATCCATCCATCCATTCATCCATCCATCGCTTGTCTATCCGTCCATCCATTCTTCCTTCTATCCATGTGCCAACTCTTTCATCCTTCTACTCATCCATTAATCCATCTACCTATCCATTCATGCTTCTGTACATCCAGTAAATAATTTCCCAGAACCAGCTTGTGCCAGGCCTTGTACTGGGCACTGGAGACCCTGAGATGAATCTAATACTGCCCTGACCTTGAGGAGCTCCCAGTGAGATTGCCGCCAAGAGAGGGTGGGAAGTGGTGAGGACTTGGGGCTCCCCAGCTCAGCTGTGCATCCTGCTGTCTCAGGATCAGCTTTCAGGGTTGGACCTCAGAAAGCAGAAACAGCAAACCCACAAATATATCAGAAATGGGACCTTGCAGGAGGAAAGAGGCCAAAGGAACAGAGGCCTTTGTCTTCCTGGCCTCTGAATGGTGGGACCAGAGGCTAGCCCCAGCACTGTCACTGCCCAGTTGTGTGACTTAAGGCATGTCACTTTCCCACTCTATGTGTGGGCTTCCTCTGTGTAGGGAAAGAGTTAGAACTCATGTGCCGGTTTAGTTGGTTGCGGCTAGTTCCTGAGAACCCATCTGTGGCTGCAACATCCAGGCGTAGACAAAAGGAAAGCTGTGATTGATTTGTGAGGTCTGCACTGGATTGGCTGTAGCTGTGGGGAGTCCTGGTCTCAGAGCAGCAGGAAGGAGTGCTGAGATTGATGAGTAAGGTCTGCCATGGTTGTGGTACCATGAAATAGTAGCACAGTTACCCTCCGTGGACCAGATAATGCGCAGGAGTCCTGCCAGCTCCCTTGATCTAGGATTATGAGCTCTGGGATCTGTGATGGGACATAGGCCTTCGTGCCACCGTTCTCCAGAGCTACCTCTGTCCCTTCCCTGGCCCTCATGCCACTTTCCTGCCCCAGAGTTTAAACAGAAAGAAGAGTGTACAATCCGTGGCCGGAGCCTGATCCAGATCAGCATCCAGGAGGACCCCTGGAACCTCCCCAACTCCATCAAGACCCTGGTGGACAACATTCAGAGATACGTGGAAGGTGCGTGGGCAGGGAGGATGCATCATGTTGGGGAGGGCTGTGGCCTTTGGTGTGGAACATGAGAGAGTCAGGGATGGATCCAGCTCTGTGAAGCCTGTTTCTCCATGCCCAGGGAGAGGACAAGAGAAGCGATGCCTTCTTTCAGCTGAGTGTCCTGCCCTAAACAGGATATGGCATGAGCCCAGGAGTTTGAGACCAGCCTGGGCAACATAGTGAGACCCTGTCTCTACCAAAACAAAAACTAGAAACAAAACAAATCCCTGATTTTGGAGGCTGAAAAGGCTGAATTTGTTCTTTCTCAGCTTCCAAAACAGTGGATATGTGGGTTCCTGTTATTATCAGGGTATGAGAGGAGGCACAAGCTGTCAGCCCACCCACCAGATTTGGACCCACAGATAGGTTTGGATGCTGCGGCAGCGAAAACTGACTCTGCTGCCAGCCCGACAGAGGTTCTCACATAAAAACTTGGATTTCTCGCTGCTCCTGATCAACCAGAAGATCTGGTGACTCCAGGCCCACAGTCTCCCATCCCACCTGGAGAGGAGTGGTGACCGCTCTGTGTACAAGGGGCCAAGGTGCTTTCCAGTTCACCCCAGTCTCCACCGCTCCCTGTGGCCTGGCGTCTGCTCCACGCATCTTACAGGGCCTGCCTGTCCCCTGCTAGCATCTGTGTCTGAGACTCCTGGGTTAGAAGAATCTGGACCAGGGAGATGTTTGACCAGGACAGTGGGAGGCTCAAGGACTCTGGGCTATTCCCCCGGGGAACGGCAGCTTCTGAGTTGCAGTCTCTGCTGCCCTGATCTGTCTTTGTCTCTGAAAGTGTAACTGGTGAAGAGCCTTGACTCTGGGTCCAGACCACCAGGGCTTGAATCCCAGCTCACCCGCTTACTGGCCATGTGATCATGGCGAGTTCCTTGACGCCTCTGGCCTTAGTTTCTTGCTGTGTCAAATGGGCTCACAGTGCCGCCTCCCTCCCATGTGGTCGGGAAGATTCAATGAGTCAGCATAGGTCATGCACTCGGTGCCCTGGTGCCTGGTGTGGTGAGTCCTGGCAAGCGTGCACCACTGCCGCTGCTCTCGATCTTACCCTGCCCAGCCTTGAATTCTGCAGTCTTCCCTAGGGAAGCAAGCACCCCAAGAGGCCAAATCCAAAGCCCTTCCACATCTTTGTAAGCCCTTTCTGGGAGACCAGGATATTCAGCTAGAAAGAAATGAGTTTTTTTTTTTTGCAGGACAGGACGTGTGTAGGGCCGTGCCCATGTAGGATGAGAATATGTATATGAGGCTGTGAGGAGTGTGTGTGTGTCTGTGTACACTTGTGTGTTTGTTGTGTTTGTGTGGGCGCGTGTGCGTGTACACTTGTGTGTTTGTTGTGTTTGTGTGGGCGCATGTGTACCTGTGTGTGTACATATGTATGTGAGTCTGCATGTGAATATGCGTGTGTCTGTGTGGCATGCACTTGGGTGTCTGTTGATGCATGAGTGTGTGTGTGTGTGTGTGTGTGTATACATGTGTTCCTGGGTTGTACCTGTGAGCGTGTGCCCATACTTATGTGAACAAGGTGTGAGTCCGGGGCTGTGGCCCAGGGGTTAAAGGGGCTGGTTTCGTCTGTGTCCAAGGCTTGCACATGCAGATGGTGCTCACGGTTGGGGTTCCACTGCCTGAGGCTGGGGGTTCCTGGAGTTCACTCAACAATCAATAGAAGCTTCTTGAGCACAGTCTTAGGTACCCAGGGCTCTGCTGTGAAGGGTCAGAGCACCTTGGAAGGTTCCACTGGGAGGGGCCTGGTTCTGCCCTCGCCCCTTCCTGCCTCCTCCCAGCCCATCCCCCTTTCTCTCTCCCTTCTCCTTCCAGATGGGAAGAACCAGCTGCTCCTGGCCTTGCTGAAGTGCACAGGTGAGGGCTTTAAAGGTGTGTGGGGTACACATACCCTGCCTCTTCCTCCACCCAAGGCCAACCATCCATGTCCCCAGGACCTGGACCGCAGAGGCAACACTTTGGCCTGGAGCCCCTCCAAGAGCTACTTGAAACTTGCTTCTTCCTCGTGTGTCCACAGGACAAGTCTCAGGGCCCTGGGGCCAGGAGCCCTGTCCCATGCCTCTGACCAGGCCTGGGTGGATATGGACAGGGCCCCGGGATAGAGGATGATGTGAGGGAGGTCCTATGCCAGGAGAGCCTTCAGCCCCAGCCTGGGAGCTTCCACCCAGCAGATAGTGTGGAAGAGAAGGGGGAGGAGGTAGCAGGAGAATCTTGGAGACCTCTATCCCTCCTTTCTTTCCAGAAATTCTCAGGCAAGGGGGATCTACAGCAGGATCTGGGTCAAATTTGGTCAGTAAAAACTCATTGGCCAGAAGCCGGCCATTGGAAATAATTCCTTCCAGAAGATTGGGACCCTGAAAGACCAATTGCTTGAAATTGGCCAGTTCTTCAAATCATGCCAGGGTCAAGGACAGGGGGCAAGGGAGGAGGCGGGGGGAAGGAAGAAAGCATAGTTCTCCTAAGCAGAGGAAATGGCAACTGCATTTCTGAACACGTGGAGTTTGGCAGAAGAGCTTGGCACGATTGGCATTCTACTGGCCAAGGCCAAGGCATCCCGTAACGAGAGGAGAAGTGGCTGAGGGCGAGGGTCTTGGGCAACCCTTAGGAAAAATCACAAGGTGTTCGTTCGTTTGGTTTTCGAAGCCAAACAAACTGAGATGAGTCACTGAGAGAATAGAGTTTTGGCACGTGGGCTTGCTGTTTGGAGAATTGATATTTGTGGAATTGGCTTTTGGTGGCTGGGATGTCCACCAAAAAGTAATTTCTGGCCTAACGTGAGCCCTTCGTGGGGGGGTTCCATGAGGGGCTCTGGACCCAGGGCTTTGGGGTGCGGGCCTCCTGGTGGTGTGGGAGCATCCCTCCACGAGCCCCCTGCCCTCTACCCCCAGACACCGAGCTGCAGCTGCGCAGAGACGCGATCTTCTGCCAGGCCCTGGTGGGCGCGGTGTGCACCTTCTCCGAGCAGCTGTTGGCAGCCCTGGGCTACCGCTACAACAACAACGGGGAATACGAGGAGAGCAGCCGCGACGCCAGCCGCAAGTGGCTGGAGCAGGTGGCGGCCACGGGCGTGCTGCTGCACTGCCAGTCCCTGCTCTCACCGACCGCAGTGGTGAGTGAGCGGGCGGGAGGGCGGCCCTGCTGGCCCACCTGCTGGTGCCCGCCCAGGCCAGGGCGAGGGAGCCCCTACCCACTCGCTCAGGCTCCCCCGGGTCTCCTCATTCCCACAGCAGTGATTTGTTGGGCACCTGTGAGCTGTTTTATGGGCACTGGGATCCAGCAGTGAACAAACAGAGTCCCTGTACCCAGGGCTCTTCAGTCCCCGCACACAGCACACAGAGGTAACAGAATCCATGCTATAGATCAGCGGCTCGCAGCCCAGGGCAGTGTCCTCCCTAAGGGACACATGGCAATGTCTGGAGACGGTTTTGGTTGTGACAGCTGGGGGACTGAGGTGGGAGTCAGGTGGTGGAAGCCAGGGATGCTGCTGGACAGCCAGAGTCCCAAGAATCACCGGTGCCTCTGAGGTTGACTCCAGGAGCTGGCTGGTGGGGCGGCCTGGTCCTGGAGCGCCCTCTGCCGGCCACTGCTGCACAAGGCACCTGCCTGGTGGGAGGTTGGCTGTCACTTGATTCCCAGAATGCACAACCTGGGACCCAGGGAGGAAGCAGGGAACACTCAGCCCTCACCTTCCTCTTCTCACTGGGGATGCTGGGCCCAGTTCTTCATTCTCTGAATACCACGATGTGCCAGGCCTTGAGCTGGGTGCTGAACGCCTGAAGCTGACTTCCTAGTTGGGGGAAGCAGCTTGAGAAGAAGAAAGGACGGAGGAGGGAAGGGAGGTGGAGAGATGGGACCCTCTGCAGGAAGCTTGGCGGATGAGGCAGCTTCTCCGGATTAGGTGGTCAGACAGGCTGTGTGAGGTGGTGACGCCTGAGCTGAGACCTCAGCCAGCCAGGCAGGCAGTGTGAGGAAGAGTGTGCGGGGCAGAGGACCAGCATGTGCAAAGGCCCTGAAGAGGGGCCGGTGTGGCCAAAGGGGAGTGGCAGGGGGCTGAGGAGATGCCAGGACCTGATCTGTAAGGCCTGAGACTTTATTCTGGAAGCAGAGGAGGGGTCAGAATTTTGATATAAAGTGATATAATTTGGGTTAAGTTTTCCAAACATGATTTGTAGGACAGACTGTATTCTTTTGTGGCAGAGAGTGACAGAAGGGAAACCTGGTGTCATCCCGGCCAGAGACGGTGGTCTCTTGAACCCAGGTGGTGGCTGGGAAACTGAAGGGAGGTGGGTGGGTCTGGAGGATATTTTGATGTCGACCCATCAAACTTAGTGATGGATATGACCAGGGTGAGTGGGAGGAAACTGGGAGGTCAGAGGTTTGGATCTTGGATGACGAGTGAATGCTGGTGCCGTTTGCTGAGATGGGACTGACTGGGGGAGGTTGTGGAAGGAACTGGGGACTTTTATTTGAGTGTGTGAGATTTGAAATGGTTAAGTTAAAAGCCTGGTTTGGTGGTCTAGGCAAGAGAGGCAGTGACTTTACTAGGACCGCTCAGTGAATTAAGGCAGGGATGGGCTCTGTGACCCTTGAAAGTGCAGGACAAGCCACAGAACACACCACGATTTCACATCCACTCTGGAGAGGCACGCTCAGGACCTGGCACCAGCGGGCCTATAGTCTGGAGTGCTGACTGAAGTTGAATTCAGCATGTTGATATGGAACCCTGGGGCACGGTTGGCATCTGAGACTCCTCCGCACTGTCTTCTTCCTGCAGAAGGAGGAACGGACCATGCTGGAGGACATCTGGGTGACCCTGTCAGAGCTCGACAATGTCACCTTCTCCTTTAAGCAACTGGACGAGAACTATGTGGCCAGTGAGTGATTTCTCCCACCCCCACTGTGAGAGTTGGGGTCCTGGGGTGGAAGGGATGGCTCTCTGGAGTCACCCTGTCCCTCTCCTGCCTCTAGGCCAGCTGCCCAAGGTGGGCTCAGTACTCAGTAGTGTCAAGCCTCATGCCTACAACATGATTGTGAGAGCCGAACTTTGGGGCACACATGCAAAAAGAGGGTTTTGTTTTTGTATAAACTCAGCTGTCTTCAACAGCTCTTAAAAGAGAATGATCCTAGTACACAATTCTTAATAAAATTTTCCCCTAGAGATGTTCTTCTTTGGAGTGAAGACTTGTTAAGATTTTTAAAGGGCTTAAATAAGTACCATAATTAAGTTCCATCCTCCTTTCCTCCTTTGCTGTTGTCCTCCCCTCTCCTTCCTTCACCCTTTCTCTTTCTCCCTTTTTCTTTCTCTCTTTCTCTCTGCGTCTCTGTTTCTGTTCTTCACCCATCCATGTATCCATCCATCCATCCATCCATCCATCCATCCGTGCATCCATCCATCCATGCATCCATCCATCCATCCATCCATCCATCCATGCATCTATCCATCCATCCATCCATCCATCCATCCATCCATCCATCCATCCATCCATCCATCCATCCATGCATCCATCCATCCATGCATCCATCCATGCATCCATCCATCCATGCATCTATCCATCCATCCATCCATGCATCCATCCATCCATGCATCCATCCATCCATCCATGCAACCATCATTCATCCACCTATCCATACATTCACATGTTCATAATTATGAGCACATAGTATGTGTCAGGCTGTGTTGTGGGCCATGTAACATGGTCCTTGTTCCTGCCCTCCTGGAGCTCACAGTCTAGCCCAGTGTGTCTCAGCCCTGCTTGCACTCTGGAGTCACCTGGGGAGCTTTGCAACCATCCCTGTGCCCCAGGCCTTAGCGATTCTGATTAGTTTGTCGGGCAGGGTCTGGGCTGTGGGGTCCTAGGGCAGTTCTAGGTAGCCTGGATGTGCAGCCAGGGCTGGGAACTGCTGGGCTTGCTTCTGAGAGCAGGGTTCTCAGAGCGTGGTCCCTGGAGCAGCAGTAGTACCTGGGGGCTTGATAGAAAGGCAGATTCTCTGGCCCACCCAGAACTACAGCCTCAGAAACGCTGGAGGTGGAGCCCAGAGGCCTGTGTGCTGAAAGCCCTCCAGGGGTGCTGAAGCGCGTGGGTTTAATTAGGAACCATGCCCTGGATTCGTGTTTCTCAATTTTTTTTATTTCATTAAATTTCATTTCATAAAAAACCTTTTTAGTTAATTTTTTCCTAATTGCTGCGCCCCTATGAAATTTTAATACTACGGTCATATCCTATGTCTGTTTATCTGGGTATCTGTGCTTATCATACGTTAAAAGAGGAAAGGTTTTTCATCCTCCCTCCCATGCGCCAGTTTTCATCTGCTTGGGGACAGTGTCTTTCCTGCTGAAAATGCATGGACTAGAGTCTCGAGGGAGGGCAGGTTCTCTGTGAGTAGCAATTGGAATTGATTGGCAGCAGCTGTCTCCAGGCTGCGATTGGCTCGGACAGAGCTTTGACAGATGAGTGATGCCTGCTATGGGTGCAGGTGGGGTCTGGGTCCCATATTTTGCCCTCCCTGCCCTAAGCGCTTCCTTCTGGCTATGAATCAGATGCTTGCCCCGTTTGAGGGCAGCTTTTCCCAGGCGGGGGCCCTGGGCTACCGGGTAAGGGTGAAAAGAGCATGGGGGAAGCTCAGACCCCAAATGCTGTGGAACCCCCAGCGACGCAGAGTCGGCATCAGGTTCAAGAATTAAGCAGCGGAACTAGGAGCTGATGAAGCAGGCGAAGGGGAGCCACTGTTCTTGAGTGAGAGGGAAGGGCTGTTAGAGGCTATCCCTAGGGCGCAGGAGGGCAGGGAGGTCTGAGGCCACCCCTCTAGAGTAGGGAGAACAGGGAGGTCCCAGAGTGTCCCTCTGGGCTTGGGGGCAGGGAGGTGCCAGCTCTTCTGGAGAGGTGTCCCAGGGCTTCTCCTGGCCTCGGCCTCAGCAGTGAGCCACCCTGCCCTGTGTCCCTCCACAGACACAAATGTCTTCTACCACATCGAGGGCAGCCGGCAGGCGCTGAGGGTCGTCTTCTACCTCGACAGCTACCACTTCTCCAAGCTGCCCTCCCGCCTGGAGGGTGGGGGCAGCCTGAGGCTGCACACCGTGCTGTTCACAAAAGGTGAGCTTCAGGCCTGGGGAAGGGGGTTCGCGGCGGATGGGCCAAGGCCACCAAGCACACCAGCTCCCAACCGCCTGCCCTCCTGCATCTCCCCTCCCAGCGCTGGAGAACGTGGAGGGGCTGCCTTCTCCAGGCAGCCAGGTCGCGGATGATCTGCAGCAGGAGATCAATGTGCAGTCCCTGGAGAAGGTCCAGCAGTATTACCGCAAACTCAGGTATCCGCCGGGGTCCCTGTTGGGGGCAGGAGTCAGGAAACCTCCATGTGGAGTGGGCATTAGCATGGAAGGTGCCAGATGGACCTCCAGCATGGGCAGTGGGCCACACACCTTTTCTTGAGTGCCTACTGTGTGACAGGACTTAGGCTGGCATGAGATTCTCACAGTAGTGGGCCATGGATGCCACTTTACCGATGAGGCTACTGAGGCCCAGGAAGCATACACACTTGCCCAAGGCCACACCAGCTATTTGTACTGAGAGGAGCTGGGTTCATTCTACAGATGGTGGGAGCTAGGACAGGGCGCCTTGGGACTCTTGGGGCCGTGAGTGAGGCCTTGGCTGCTCAGAAGAGAACCCCAAGGGAGAAGGGGCGAGAGCAGGGCCCAGGTGTCACTAGGAGAAAGGCACAGGTTCCAGGAGGCGCTTCTAAGTTCTGCGGCTTCCACTCCTACCACCCTCCCCCAGCGCCCTTCCTGTGTCTGTCTTGCCACCTCTGTCTGTGACAGGCCAGGGAGACAGGTGCAGGTCTGGGCTTCGTCATTTGGAAATGGGAGAAGGAGGCTTCATCCGTTTGCGCAGAGAAAGCGTCCAGCCGAGTTACTGAAACTGGCATCTGTTTGGACTGATCAGGGCTGTCATCAGTCTGTTCTGCGCCATCTATGGAATATTCTAAGTCCTGCCTGTGTGGTCATTCATTCATCTCTTCATTCATATAGCACATGTTGAGGCCTCCTCTGGGCTGGGCCCTGTTCTGGGTGCTTGTCTTGGGAATCTGCAGTGAGCAAAACAAAGTCTGATTCTTCATGGAGTGTATCATTCTAGAGCAGGGGTTGTCAAAATCCGGCCCACCTCGCTTCCCTGTTTTGTAAAGTTTTATTAGCACACAGCTGCGTTCACTCGTTTTCACATGCTCTGTGGTTGCTTTTGTGCTGCAATGGCAGAGCTGAGTGGCCATGGTTGAGACTCTCTAGTTCACAAAGCCTAAAATAGTTACCGTGGGGCCTTTACGGAAGAAGTTCGCTGACCCCCGTTCTGGAGGGGGATGAACGATGAGCCAGTAAGCCCAGAGCCGTGAGGCGCCATGTGGTGAGGAGTGCTCAGAAGAGAGAAGAAGCAGGACCAGGGCCTGGGGAGCAAAGGGCTGGGGCTGCTGTGGATGGGCAGGCAGGGGAGGGGTGGCACTGGAGGAATGCCCAGGAGGCCCCTCTTTCGCCACCAGCTGTTGTAGGAACAGGTGCCTGCAGGTGAGGACGGCCTGCAGGTGTGCTCCAGGATTTCTTTCTGAGGGTCGGCTGTGGGTGGAGTCTCAGTGGCTGCAGTGGTTGGGACCGCTGAGTAGGGGCGGGAGTATGGCGGGTGTGATGGGCCCTCCCTGCCATCCCCATCTTTCTTTCACAGGGCGTTTTACCTGGAGCGGTCTAACCTGCCCACGGATGCCAGCACCACGGCAGTGAAGATAGACCAGGTGTGTCCACCTTTTGTCCCTCTGCGGCGGGAAGCTTGGGCAGGGTGGGGGTGCCTGGGGTTCAGAACTCAGCAGACAGGCCCAGGGTTGTGCCCCAGCAGGTGCTAAGTCAGAAGCCCTTGAGACCCTGCAGTCTCTCCTCCTGCAGGAAGTCTCCCACAATAGCTTCCTCCCCGTTCCAGTACTTCCTGGGATGATTTACTTTGGCGGGCACCTGCCCGTCTGTGCCACTCCAGTCCCCTTATTAACCACAGTGTTTCTCTGAGGCTGGAGCCTGGACCTCATGGCAGATGTAACCTGTATGATGTTCTTGTCATTTGTTTGTTTCAAGTTTGCTGTCAACCTTTAGAAATCAAAAGATTTCCCATAAAAATGGAGGCTTCCAGCTTTTCTGGAGGAATGGGAAAATCTGGCTGTTGGGGCCCATGTTGCCATCTGTCCCCTTGGCCCGAGCCAGGAGCAGCTCCCTCTCAGGGGCCCCCTTGCCTCTGGCCCTGGACGCATGTCTTTTGGCCTGCTGGTTTTCTAGAGTCAGGCAGGCCTTGCATCTGATGATTTTGGGGTGCTGCCTTGGGGCTGTAAGCTGGGGGCTTTGGGAGATGTGGGGAGCACAGCCCTTTGGGAGTTTCCGCTCTGACTGACAGTGTCCCTGCAGCACAGCACGGTAGCGAACCATCACTTGCACCTCCACATGGGGGTCAGGGAGTGCTGGGGGCAGAAGGGAGGAAGGCTTTTTCTGGAGAGGGAGCATTTGTGTTTGTCTTGACGGGCTGGGAGAGGGCACTTTCTTCAGGCTTAGCTGGGAACACACTGGGCAGATGAAGAGAATTAGGTTGGAAGGTTATACCTGAAATATATGGTGAACACTGACTGCCAGCCTGTAGGGCAGTGGGGAGCCACAGAGGGTTCCTGAGCAGAGGTTACGGAAGATTGAATTGCATTGTCAACTCCAGAGGGGTGAGCTGGGAGGCAGCTGTAGTAACAGAGCTAGCTTAGAAGGAGACGGTGGGGAAGGGGGCCAGGTGGGGGCTGTGGGGCTGTGGGGACCTCCTCCAACTCCCCGGCATGTGTGGTACCCCTCACAGCTGATCCGCCCCATTAATGCCCTGGACGAGCTCTGCCGCCTCATGAAGTCCTTTGTCCACCCCAAGCCTGGTGCCGCTGGGAGTGTGGGCGCCGGTCTCATCCCCATCTCCTCAGAGCTCTGCTACCGCCTGGGGGCCTGCCAGATGGTCATGTGTGGCACGGGCATGCAGAGGTGAGCTGCCACCCCCTGAGTAGGGGCGTGGGGAGGGGCTGGCCCAGCTTCTGCGCAGTTTGGGGGCCTGTGGCAAGGAGGCAGGATTCCAATTGTGTTTCTGCCATTGCCAGTGGAGCCCCGACAAGGCCTTGGCTCTGCCTGCACCTGTTTGTCTGCCTGTGAAATGGGATGGCAGCAGCAGATAGTCCCAGCAGGGCCGTGGGACCTGCTTCTCTAACGCCGTGGGGAGGGTGCATGGGAGCTGTGCCCTGGGGTTCTGCTGGAAGCCTCATTCAACATTCACAATGGCAGTTGCTGGTTTGTGGGGCCTCCTGGTCTCACTGGAGGCTCCCCTACCTCCTACCTCCGTCCTTTGTCCTCATTGCTCATCCGGGGAGCAAGAGGTCACCTTCTGCAGAGTCCTTCCTAACCTCCCATTACGCACTGTACCTGCTCCCCACTCAGCGCCCCCCAACCCTCTTCCTCGAAGCCCTCACCCCCTGCAGACAGCACCCTTCGCTGGGGTTTTTATTTCCTCCCTGCCTCCCGCAGTGCAGGGCTGGCTCTGGGAGGATAGGGCCCCTTTTGTTCTATGCTATTCCTGGGACCTAGAGCAGAGCCTGGCCTGAGGCAGGTGCTCGAGAAACATTTGCTGAATAAGTGTTGCTGAATAAATGTTTCACAGGGCCAGTGCCCCCGCCTCCTCCTCAGGATGTTTCCTGCGGATGACCTCCCTTCCCTCTTCCGCCAGCGCAGCAGTGATAGTGGGGCCAGTTTTAGGGACCTCAGCTAGGGGCAGTTTTACCCTGGGGAACATTTGGCAACATCTGGGCGCATTTTTGGTTGTCACAACTTGGGGGAGGGAGGAGCTCCTGGCCTCTAGTGGTGGAGGCTGGGATGCTGCTCTGCTTCCTGTGGTGCCCAGGGCGGCCCCTCCAGCTGGGCAGGGTCCACTGTGCGCCCCTCCAGCTGGGCAGGGTCCACTGTGCGCCACCATCTCCCTCTCATAGTTACAGTGTCGGGAAGCTGAGGTTAACCCAGCTGCCCAGGGTCACAGAGGCGTTTCATGGAGGGACAGGATTGGAATCCCAGAGGTCTCGCTGTAGAACCCATGTTCTAGAACTGTTGAGAAACCCAGAGAGGTGTGAATCGATGTGTCCATCTCAAACCCTGCTGTGCCAAGTCGTGAGGCTTCCAGGGAGTGCCCCATTCACTCACTCTGCAGATACTTACCAAGTCCTCCGAGCAAGGCACTGGGAATGTCACAGGGAACTCAGCGGGGCTTCCGCAGAGGGGAAGCACCAGAGCGCCTTCGAGTGAGGGTGGCAGCTGCCTGGAGGAGTGGGGGGAGACACAGCAGGAGGTGGCGCAGCCGTGATGGTCAGGGCCAGGTCTGGGAGGCCGTGGGAAGGGCAGGACGTCGCCCCAGCTCTCATCCACTATCCTCTGACTCCTGCTGTCCTCCCCCCACCACTTTCCCCCCGTCCCCTGCTGTCCTCCCTCCACCACTTCCCCCCTCCCCTGCTGTCCTCCCTCTACCACTGTCCCCCCTCCCCTGCTGTCCTTCCTCACTGTCCCCTCTCCCCTGCTGTCCCCTCCTCCCTGCTGTCCCCCCTCCCCCACTGTCCCCCCCGTTGTCCTTCCCTGCTATCCTCCCTCCCCCACTGTCCCCCCTCCCCTGTTGTCCTTCCCCGCTTTCCTCCCTCCCCTGCTGTCCCCCCTCCCCTGCTGTCCTTCCCCACTGTCCCCTCTCCCCCACTGTCCCCTCCTCCCTGCTGTTCTCCCACCTCCACTGCAGGAGCACCCTAAGCGTGTCTCTGGAGCAGGCGGCCATCCTGGCGCGGAGCCACGGGCTGCTGCCCAAGTGCATCATGCAGGCCACGGACATCATGCGGAAGCAGGTGAGGCCGCCTGGCCACAAGGTCCCCCAGTGCCCTGGGCTGAGGGCATGGCATACTTGCAGCCAGGTTGGGAAAAGGAGCTATCTTGGGATTGTAGCCACTAGCCCCAGGCCTGAGCCTCCTCTGGATCTGGAGGGGTGCAAGGATTTTAGCTTCTGGGCCCCACCCCACCCCATAGTGTGTTTCCTCACGTGCCCTGAACCTGCAGAGGCCCGGCCTGATAATTCCTTCTTTCCAGGGCCCGAGGGTGGAGATCCTGGCCAAAAACCTGCGAGTCAAGGACCAGATGCCCCAGGGTGCTCCGCGGTGAGTGGCTGCCCCATCCACCCCTTCCTGTCCCCTCCCGGATGGCCAAGACCCCGGCCGGGGTTTGGCATCGTGTTCCTGGCCTGACCCCCATGCTCAGATGGGGCTTCCCCTCTCATTTATGGGGAACCTCTTTGAGGAGTAACAGACACGACTCTGTCGCTTCCCAGAGAAGCTCCTGCCCACTGGGAAGATGAGCAAGGCTCCCAGGTGCGCCATGGGGCAGTGACTCTGTGTGACCCTCCCACCTCGCTGCCACTGTGCCCTCAGCCCCATGCCCTCTCAGCCCTGAGCCCCGCCCCATGCCCCCCGCCCTGTGTCCCCTGCCCTGTGCCCCCACACCCTGAGTCCCTGACTCTTGAGCGGCTCCCTTTAACCTGGGGTGGAATTAAGAATGCCATGATTTTAGCTGATCCGACCTAAGCTAGCCAGTTACAGAAATGGAAACTGAACAGCAGCCTGGGCCGGGCCTGTGATGCCTGATTCCAGGAATGCCCTCTGTTCCTGCCATCAGCACGGGGGTCCTGTTCCCTCCTGTCCTCCCACTCCGCCCTCTCTTCACGTGGTTTTAAGGCTGCCTCTTGGTGCCACGTGCAGGCCCTTTAGGATCGTGACGTCATTTCTGTCTAATCCTCTCTCTTCTCCACGGTCCCAGTTTGCTGTCGTCATCTGCCCACAAATTTTAAATAACTCTTGTTTTGAAATAATGTGACTCCCAATAAGTTGTAAAAATAGTCCAGAGCTCCGTGGACCCTGCAGGCTGCTTCTCCCAGGGGCCAGGTCTTAGGTCACCGCAGTGTGCTCCAGGGGCCAGGCCTTAGGTCACCGC